CACGTTCTATTCGATCCGAGCTCACGCACCAATTGATAAGAAAGAATCTATACTCTTTATTATCACAGAGAGAATCGATACACTGTTTTGTGGAAAGAGCTCTAGAATAACTCTCTAGAATCTAGATCACGTCGTCAACACAAACCGATCGTTCTGCGTCTCTTTCTATCTCAGTCTCTCCTCACCGGTGAAGATCACGACCCTTCTACTCTGTTTACAATCGGTGGAACCTTTCAAATTCTAATAAAAATCTTTTGCCTCTTTTGTTGAATGAGAATGCGCCAGAGATCCCTATTATGTTTACAACGTGGTAAGTTTATTCTAAAACAATTTTTTTTTTTTTTGGTAAAAATTCTAAAACAATTTTTAGTTTTATGAAAATCAATTTTATTTTATTTTTAACTTTCTCAAATGCCTTAAAATTCTACTAATTACCACTAAATATTTGTAACTAAAATTCTACAGAGTTTGTTGAAATCACTTTATAAATCATGAGATTCCCTAAAATCTCTCTAAATTCCCTAAAATTTAAAAGTATCTAAATACATCCAAATCACAGATCCACTATCCCCCCCTTAGTTTACTATATACGTACGATGAACAACAAGTTAGGAAACAAAATATGGACATATTACAGACATCGGGTCTGGTCCACCAGATATGGTACACCGGATCTGGGGACCAGATCTAATCCATGAGATATGGTCCACCGGATCTAGTTCACGGGATCTGGTCCATCTACAGACAAATGTGTGATTCATAGTGTAAACCTAGATGGATTGTAGATGATATCTTCTATAAACGCATTACTTGTTTCATCAGCTGGTCGATTCGCTAATGGCTTTAGAAGATTTGCATGATGGACACAATTACTTAGTAAATATAGACAAGTTTGGTCCACCGGAACTAGTTCACGGGATCTGATCCATCTACAGACAAATGTGTGATCCAAAGTGTAAACCTAGATTGATCGTAGGTGGATCGTAGATGATATCTTCCATAGACGCATCACTTGTTTCATCATCTGGTCGATCCCTTATGGCTTTAGAAGATATACGTGATGGACACGATTACTTAGTAAAATAGACAAGTTTGGTCCACCGGAACTGGTTCACAGGATATAGTCTACCATATCTTTTCCATCGAAATTAGCTCGTCAAAAATACAACACATAATCTCTAGGGAGCATCTGCAAAGCTGATTGATATTATTTTGTTAGAGCAAACGCTGGTGGAATATGAAATCCCTTGGTTTGTTATTGGAGGAAGAAAGACGAAAATGAAAGAAGAAGAAGAGAGATAGAGGAGAGAGAGATACAAGAGATATGAAAAGAGAGAAGAAGTGTATAAAAGGTCACTTTCAGTTTGTAGGCTTCATTAGAAGGAGAGTATAATCGTCTTTTAGTGTACACGTTGTGGCAGACGGGAGAAGGTAGGGGAACAAATGACACCGAGTAAAACACTTGTCACTGTACAAGGCATAACTCACAATTTTCCCTAAAAAAAATAAAAAAAAATCTTAAAATTGAGCTAACTTTAAGATTGAGCTAACTAGTAACAATCACATTAAAACAAATTTCAAGATTAAAATTAATATATATATATATATAATGACATGTTAGATGTACAACTTATAAAATTTAAATTTAGCAAAAATGTTGTATTTAAAAACTATTTTAGGAAGTAACTAAAATATATATTTGGTTGCAGGAGTTGCAGTCGGTGTTAGTCATGCTTGAGATGATAACATCGCAGATTTATTGAGAGATTGTTGGAAAGCTACCAAAAAGGGTATCAACTCTGGCTTTAGGCGTACCACCAATGGCTGAAGTGTAGTCGAGGTTTGCGGTTGTAGAAGAGCTCAGATTTTACCTTAAGTTGATGAAGGCTAATACACATCTTTGGTGGAGGGGTGTTGCAACTTGGAGGACTCATGCATAGTTTAACTCCAAGTATTTTTTTTTCATGTGTTGAAGGAAGGACCACATTGTTGGGAATTTTCCTCAAAGGAGTGATATTCGTGTGTGCTACAACTACAAGGAGGTGGGGCATAACAAGTCAAAATGTCCCAAGTTGCATCAGAGAGAGGTGGTAGTAGTTGAGATTGTTTTCCTCACGGTGTTGTATTAGGGATCTTAGCTGATGAGTCTTATGTAGGGACCTTAATCATGAGAGGTATTGAGTCCCACATGTTATTTGATTCTGGAGAGTCTCATTGTTTTGTGACTCCAGAATTAGCCAAGCGGGAAAATACTGGTGGTGAACCGACGAGCAGTTGGGAGTCGTTCGAGTTGCTGGAGGGAAATATTCTGGCTATTCGTGGTCGTTTTATAATTTGAATGTTCATGTGGTTGGGGAGTCTATGCCAGGCTATTTGATCATTTTTTTTTATGAACCTATATGATGTCATCTTAGACATAGATTGGCTCGGCTAGCATAGAGCGCATCTAAATTGCCACAAGGGACGTGTCGCTTTTAAAAGCAAGGATGGTCTACTAACCTGTGAGGCTGACTTCAAATGATCTCGTGATCTTGGCCATATGCAGACAAAAGAGATCACGAGATTATTTGCGGTTGGAGACTGTTGGATAGGTTGCGGTTGAAGATACTCGAGTTGTTCACAAGTTCGAATATGTTTTTCAGTCTTTACAGTGAAGATATTTTTCAGTCATTACAGGGGTTACTGTCGTCACGATCTGATCTCTTCAAGGTTGAGTTGTAATCGGAAAAATATTGATACCTAAGGCTCCTTATTAAATGACTCCAACTTGGCAGAGCTGAAGAAGCAGCTGGACAGAGCTGAATAAGTAGTTGGAAGAATTGTTGGATAAGGTTTTTATATGTGAGAACAGTTCATTGTGGAGAGCACTAGTGTTGTTTCTTAAAAAGAAGGATGAATTCCGATTTATGGATTATTGGGAACTTAATCGAGTCACAGTGAAGAAAAAGTATCCTATTTTGCGGATTGATAAGTTGTTGGATCATCTTAGAGAGGCTACTTGGTCCTCTAATATAGTTTTGGTGTCAGGATTCCATCAGATTTTGATAAGGCGGAAATTCAAAAGACAAATTTCAAAACTAGATATGGGCACTACGAGTTTGTGGTGATGTTATTTGGATTGACGAATGCTCCAACAGCATTCATGAGTTGATGAACATGGTTTTTCAAGAGTTCGAGTTCGTGATCATATTCACAGACATATCGGTGTACTTGAAGATTTCCATTGAGCACGAGGTACACACCTAACAGTTGTGTTAGAGAAGTTGTTCGTAAGTTTAGCAAAGTGTGATTGTTTTATGACTCTTCTCCCACATAACCTCAGTGAAGTTGTCATATGGGAAACTGAATGTAGTGAGAGGTGTGATCTCTAAAAACTATCACTATGACAATTTCAATGAGTTTTTTTTGGATTATCCCAAATGAATGCCAAGTGCTTAGCCTGATGAAAATATAAACACCATATAATAATATATCCTTTCAAACTCAATTTGTAACGGTACGTTTGAAGTTTGAACCATCAAAATCAATTCATACACCAACCTAGTCTTGTCTTATGTATTGCATTGCAGCCCATTCCCAAATACAAAAATGTGTCTAACTCTTATATATGTGTGATTCATTTGAACTTATATGCTAAGGATAATATCCATAAGTTACTTATCAGTTTTTATCACTCTTCAATCTTCTTAAAAGTTTCTCAAAATCTCTCTGTTTCTTCTTCTTCTTCATTATGCAAACCCTAATTCCCATCTTCAAAGCTTAATCCAACACTATCTCCGACACTGATGATGACGTCATCACTACCTGTCCGAGCTCCGACATGGGTTTCATCCCGGAGAATCTTCGAAGAGAGACTCCAAGATCTTCCAAAGTGTGCTAATTTAAGCCAAGTGAAGCAGCTTCATGCCCAGATCATTCGAAGGAACCTTCATCAAGATCTTCACATAGCACCGAAGCTAATCTCAGCTCTTTCTCTTTGCCGTCAAACCAATTTAGCTCTTAGGGTTTTCAATCAGGTTCAAGAACCTAACGTTCATCTCTGCAATTCTCTGATTAGAGCTCATGCTTTGAACTCGCAGCCGTATCAAGCTTTCTTCGTTTTCTCTGAGATGCAAAGATTTGGTCTTTTCGCTGATAATTTCACTTACCCGTTTCTTCTCAAAGCTTGTTCGGGTCAATCATGGTTACCTGTGGTGAAGATGATTCATAATCACATCGAAAAATTGGGTCTTTCGTCTGATATTTATGTTCCCAATGCTCTCATTGATTGTTATTGCAGATGTGGTGGTTTAGGTGTTAGAGAGGCGATGAAGTTGTTTGAGAAGATGGGTGAGAGAGATACTGTGTCTTGGAATTCAATGCTTGGTGGATTAGTGAAAGCAGGGGAATTGAGAGATGCTCGCCAGTTGTTCGATGAAATGCCTCAAAGGGATTTGATTAGTTGGAATACTATGTTGGATGGGTATGCTAGATGTAGAGAGATGAGTAAAGCTTTTGAATTGTTTGAGAAAATGCCTGAGAGAAGTACTGTGTCTTGGTCGACGATGGTTATGGGTTATAGTAAAGCTGGAGATATGGAAATGGCTAAAATTATGTTTGATAAGATGCCATTGCCGGCTAAAAATGTGGTCACTTGGACGATAATTATCGCTGGGTATGCAGAGAAGGGTCTTATGAAGGAGGCTGATAGATTAGTCGACCAAATGGTTGCTTCAGGATTGAGATTTGATGCCGCGGCTGCTATTAGTATATTGGCTGCTTGTGCCGAGTCTGGTTTGCTCGGGTTAGGAATGAGGGTTCATTCCATAATTAAAAGGACTAACCTCAACTCGAATGCTTCTGTGTTAAATGCACTACTTGATATGTATGCGAAATGTGGTAGCGTTGAAAAAGCATTTGATGTTTTTAACAACATGCCCAAGAAGGATCTCGTTTCCTGGAACAGTATGCTTCATGGTCTTGGCGTTCATGGCCACGGTAAGGAAGCAATTGAGCTTTTTTTAAGGATGAGAAAGGAAGGGATCCAGCCCGATAAAGTTACGTTTATTGCTGTTTTGTGTTCCTGCAACCACGCCGGTCTCATTGATGAAGGCATAGATTACTTCTACTCGATGGAGAAAGTGTATGATCTTGTTCCACAAATTGAACACTATGGTTGTCTTGTTGACCTATTAGGTCGAGGGGGCCGGTTAAAGGAAGCGATTAAAGTTGTCCAAACTATGCCTATGCAACCCAATGTTGTTATTTGGGGTGCTCTTCTTGGAGCGTGCAGGATGCATAACAAGGTGGATATTGCTAAGGAAGTCCTTGATCACCTAGTTAAGTTAGACCCTTCTGATCCGGGAAACTATACACTGCTGTCAAATATTTATGCAGCAGCAGAGGATTGGGCAGGGGTTGCTGATATAAGATCAAAGATGAAGAGTATGGGAGTAGAGAAACCATCAGGAGCTAGTTCGGTTGAATTGGAGGATGGGATACACGAATTTACAGCTTTGGACAAATCACACCCAAAATCTGATCAAATATATCAGATGCTTGGTAGTCTAAATGAACCTCCAGATACCGGTGAGCTGGTTGCTGTTGGATAAATTAATTAGTTTATGTTCGCGATGCAAAAATTTCGTCAAAGCCACATTGTCAAGATCATTAGGTATAGGCTGTGTACACCAGCATTCAACAGTCTGGTCTAGGCCATAAATTTGTAGTTCATTTTCCAGAGGAACACAGATGGTTTTATCCTTGTAATTCACAAAATTGGACGATGGATATTGTATATACGACATAATTCAATCACCTTGTTTGCAATACTAACTTCAGAGATGGAGTTTCTGGATCTTAATCTCACAACAGGTTCTGTGATCAACCTTGAAGATGACAGTAACAAAAGAAGAATCATCCAGGAAAAAAACACATTCAAACACCCTCACTGTAAGTAATATTGTGACTTTTGTGGAAAAGATCAAACAAAACATGGTTAGGTGATCCTTAAGACTTGAATTGTATAAGTCTATATTCAAATTTCACTGATGATATATTGTTGGTGATGTATTACCATTGGACGTCAGTATAATGACGTACCGGTTGGTGATGATGTTACCTATGGACGAACCAACTAGTTTTGTTAGACTTGAATGTTTTTTAGATAGTCAAATTAGAACAAAGTCGTGGAGCTTATTTTATTACAAAATCAATGTGTTAATGATTTTGAGTTGATCTTAAATTTCCTTTTTTGAAGTGATGTCCTTTGAAATAGTAATACAATAATGGAGAAAACAGGACCACTGATAGTGCCTCTTTTGATTTGTTCCATCCGCAATAGATGACTTTGATCATACCCAAAAACAAAAAGTCTACGAGCTCATTAGCTTAAGACCCTTTCATGAATGATCCAAAATTTTACAGATTTACATAAAAAAGAACAAAACTTGAGAGAGGTGAGAGAGATTTTGGGGATTGAGTTTATTATCTAGTTGGTGGATATAATAATTGTTATGTTCTTTTTTCCACAGGAGTGGGTAAGTAACTGCAGAGGCAAACCTTGAGTGGCCACTAGGCCTACACATCATCAAAAAGAGGTGATAAAAAGATTTGTCTCTTATCCAAAATCCAAAGGTATATGGAAATGTCTATCTTTAAATACATCAACGGCTTATAAGGTTTAGGTATATCCATTGCCCATTCCTCTGACTAGGACCCTTAGAAGTTAACACATTCAGCCTGTGGTTCACAATTGTCTAGTCTCTTATATTTAGATGTTACTTTTGTGTTCTGTCTTCTCTTCTCATAGGTACTAAAGTGAATTGAGTCAGAGAAAAAGAGAAAGATAAGAGAGAGAGAGAGAGAGAGAGAGAGTGGGATAGAGTAACATGGAGGCTTGTTTTCTTACATCAAGATCACTCTCTGGTAACAAAGAGCTTGTCCCGTTCATCAAATCCAGAATCTTTACTTGCCCCAAGAAAAATTCTTGCCAATTTCTCACCAGGAAGGTTGCTTCTCCGATCTCTGTAAATTGTAAGTAAGATCTCTTTCATGGTCATTTTGATCTATGAGAGTTGCCTGAGTACCAAAAATTACATGTCTTAGTTTGGGAATTTGCTTGTCTGAGTAGCTGATGAGAGCATTTTGGTTGAGTAGGTTCCCTTTCAGATTCATGGAAGCCACTGGACGATGATGCTGATCTCTTCAAGGAGTGTGACAACAATTCTACAGCAGATGCTGACTGGAGGGAGTTCAGGGCAAGGCTTGTTGCAGGAGAAGAAGCTGCAACGTCTGAGAAAGATCCTTCCTCATGGTCTAACCCGGACATGGTGGTTGACTATCCGTCATCATCGACCTCACGGATCACAATAGGAACCAAATGGGCACACAAGATCCACGAGCCAGAGACAGGCTGCCTTCTAATCGCCACAGAGAAGCTAGACGGTGTCCACATCTTCGAAAAGACGGTGATCCTCCTCCTCTCTGTTGGACCCTCAGGTCCAATAGGAGTCATCCTCAACCGCCCATCACTGATGTCGATTAAGGAGACCAAATCAACGGTTTTAGACATGGCAGGAACGTTTTCAGACAAAAGACTCTTCTTTGGTGGACCTTTGGAAGAAGGGTTGTTCTTGGTGAGTCCAAGGAGTGGTGGAGACAACGAGGTTGGTAAGAGCGGAGTGTTCAGACAAGTGATGAGAGGATTGTACTACGGGACGAGAGAGAGTGTAGGCTTGGCTGCAGAAATGGTGAAGAGGAATTTGGTTGGAAGAAGTGAGCTTAGATTCTTTGATGGGTACTGTGGTTGGGAAAAAGAACAGTTGAAAGCAGAGATCTTGGGAGGGTATTGGACAGTTGCTGCTTGTAGCTCCAGCGTTGTGGAGCTTGGTTCAGCTGTCCAAAGCCATGGTCTTTGGGATGAGGTTCTTGGGCTTATTGGGCCTCAAACAGGCTCTGTTATCTAAATCTTGTTTTTGTAATGCTTTTTCACTAATGTTATATGGTATGAGTTGACTATTGTGTATGTTTTATCAATGTATGTATTATAAATCCATCACTAATTTTATATTTGTTTGTTTCTCATTTAATGTCATATACTTAATGCAAATGACATTATGAGAAAATGGATTGTTGATGTTATTGTTAGATGTTTTTGAATTTTTTTCTGTAACAAATATATTGTACTCGAGTGTCACTCGGCTGTAGGTCGAGTGTCACTCGGCTGTAGGTCGAGTGACGCTTGAATCTGCTCTGCGTATGTGCTGCTAATTGACTATCACTTGACGGTGTTGATCGAGTAACATCTGATTCTGCTTCGTATCTTTAATGCTACTCGATTGTCACTCGTTGGTGTAGGTCGAGTTTGCATATCTCTTAAGAACAATTCAATTCGACATATCTCATAGAGATTTTAAATATTAAAATAATAAAAAGTATTGTAAAAATTAGTCAGAGTTTTAGGTGATGTTCTTTGTGTTCCTCATTTAGGTGATGTTTTTTGAATAATCAAAGAGGTTCTGAGCCGAAGCCCATACATCCCCTCAGGCCCGAGACCAAAGCATATTATATAGTTTCGTCCCAAGCGCAACTCGAACCGGCGACCTCTAAACTTTTGCCAGAGATCTTTACCAGTTGAACTATTAGCACTTGCCTTTCTCTGATTTGTCAGATACAATTTTAACAATTAAATTAAATAAATAATTCATTTGTTAAATATTGATTAAAATATTATATTTTGAGAAACTCACAAATGTTATACTGATGTCGATGTTTTAACTTTTAAGAACCTGAAAAAATTTCAATATGTATAATGTATACAAGATATATGGAAAACCTATTTAAATATGCAAAAATGTAAAAAAAAACTCAAAATGATGTAATTCAATAAATCAATGAAACTAAATAGATGATAAATACACACTCAAAAAAAAAAAATTAAATATATATATATATATATATAGGCATACAGCTTTTAGTATGGCTAAGCCCATCTAAAACACATATTTAATCTTATCAAGAACGTTAGAAGAAATATTTTTATTTTTCGTATTACATTTTTTGGCTCTTCTAAAACTTGGTGTCGTGTTGCTGAAGTTGAATAGTAGTGATGCACAAAAACTAATTATATTGTACAATAATGTAGTACTCTACTAACAAAAAATAAAATAAAAATAAAATAATAATAATAATAATATAGTTTGGTGGATGGGAGTTTAATAACTAATAGCGTGAAGAACGTTTTACAGTAAGTTAAATAATAAATATTTAATGCGCAATTATTGCTTATCTTAGCTTCGTCATTGTATATATCATTCGAGATTCAAAGAAAATATATACATTTCAATTTTAGTTGTGTAATAATTTTTAAAGAGTTAAAAATACAACGAAACTATGTCGGGACTAAGGCAAGGTGTTTCATCTCTTACAATTTCATTATGCATAACATACAAAATTAACATACGTTTATTAATTTATTACAATTACTTTGTTTCTGTAACAGAAGATTAGATGGCAAGATCGCAATTATAACAGGCGGAGCTAGCGGGATTGATCTGAAGCGGCTAGGTTGTTCACTGACCATAGAGCTAAAATGGTCATCGTTGACTTACAAGAAGAGCTTGGCCAAAACGTCGCCGTTTCTATAGGGCTAGACAAAGCGAGTTTTTACCGTTGCGATGTGACCAATGAGCCCGAAGTTGAGAAGGCGGTTAAGTTTACTGTTGAGAAACACGGGAAGTTTGACGTTCTTTTTAGCAATGCCGTGTAAGAAAATTATTTGTTCTTACTCATGTATATGGTCTTATAGTTAACTGATCTCTTATTTGGGATTAGAGGTAAAGCAGTTAGATTGTTCATTGACCATAGACTTAACCGGGTGATACTAAGTCACCCTCCCGCACTATTGTATAGAATTTACTTTGTATACTATTTATTTATAAACCTTAAGGAAAACTTGAACCAAAATCTTGATTGAGCATGAATTTATTTGAAGTTCATAATAATATTTATTTTATTTTATTAATGCTTATATTATATTTAACCGTGTTTATGTCTATGAAACATTCTAAAAAATGTAAAATTTTATCAAGTGCTAAGAGCTCAATTAGTAAAGATTTCAGGCAAAAGTTAAGAGGTAGCCGGTTCGAGTAGCGCTTGGGACGAGACTATTAAACATGTTCTGGTTTCGTGATTGAGGGGATGTATGAGTTTCGGCCCAGAACCTCTTAGTTATTCAAAAAACAAAATGCAAATTTTAAGCTAAAAATGTAAATATTTCATTAAAAAATGAAAACGGTTTAGAATATAACAGAAAAATTATAAATCTATACAAATGGCTCCATAGCGGAAAAAAAAACATGAAAACATAATTCAATGAAAAAATTCAGTCTATCCACTCTATTGAAACCTAATCGCTAATGTAGGGTAGACGAAGTAATGACAATTTTGGATTTCTTCAATACCACTTCATCATATCAACAACTTTATACGATAAGGTAACGACATCCATTAAACTCAAAGGTAAAAGGTACAAGAACAAGATCATATAAATTCAAGAACCTAACCTAACATACAAGTACAACCACAATGATCTTAAAGATCACACATTATTAAGCAAAATTATACATTAAAATATCCAAGAATTAAAATGTAAAGAGAGTCTTATATCTCTTTTAAGCAAGCTTAACAACACTAAAACCACCATCGACCGCCAAGTTCTGACCACTAATATAAAGAGATTCATCAGAAGCAAGAAACAAAGCTGCTTCAGCCACATGACGAGCTTTAAGTGCTATGCCTTTGAGATTACCCGTAGCTTCACAATATCCTTCAACCATCTTAGCCGTCTCCTCATTGATACTAGTCAACCCTGTTGCAACCGCGTACGGTGCAACTCCATTGACTCTAATACCATACTGTCCTAACCCACCACAAGCTGTCCTAATCAGCCCGAGAAGCGCGTGCTTAGAGGCAGTATAACTATGAGGCCCTGGACCACCAATCTCGGCCGCGATACTCGTGGTACATACAATAGAACCACGAGTACCACTAGCCACCATGGACCGTGCCGCGTGTTTGATAAACGCAGCCGGGCCACGGACGTTGACCGCTATGGTAAGATCGAACCTATCAAGATCCAAATCAAGAAAGCTTCCGGGCTGTTCCAAGATCCCGGCGTTGCTAAAAAGAACGTCAAGCTTCCCGTGTTTGTCAACGGTGAACTTAACCGCCTTCTCAACTTGAGCCTCATCGGTCACATCACAACGGTAGAAACTCGCTTTCTCTAGGCCGATAGATAGGGCGACGTTTTGGCCAAGCTCTTCTTGTAAGTCAACGATGACCACTTTAGCTCCATGGTCAGTGAACAACCTAGCCGCTTCAGCTCCGATCCCACTAGCTCCGCCTGTAATAATTGCGATCTTGCCATCTAATCTTCTGTTACAGAAACAAAGTAATAAATTAATAAACGTATGTATGTTAGTACCTAAGCATAATGAAGTTGTGTAAGAGATGAAACACTTGCCTTAGTCCAGACATAGTTTTGTTGTATTTTTAATTTTTCAAAAATGTCACTACTAAAAATTGAATGTATCATCTTTTCTTTCTGAGAGATTTGGAAGGATTTATAATGGTGAAGGTAACCAATAATTGCGGTTCCAATATTTAAATCATTTCAACGTTTCTCACGTTCTTAATAATTAAACTCTGCCAAACTACAATATTTTATGTTTTATTTTATGTATTATTTTAGGTTTAATGGTTTCAGAAAATATAATAGTTTATATATACAAAACAAAAATTTAAATAATTAATTTGGTCACGCTGTATTTTTTTTTTTTTTTTTTTAATTCAGGAGTAATCTCAAAGGTTTTCTAAATCTATAGACTAATTTTCTAGGACCGGGGGAAATCATGTTAAATCTCGAACTCCTGTGGCTAATGCTACTCAAGTCCAGGTGGCGGGATTTATCTTCCTTTACCACTGGACCAAGGCAATTTAGTTTTTTATTTATTTATTTATTATTAAAGAGGATCTATTTGTTTTGGTAAACATTTGAAAAAATTATACATCTAAGAAATATGCTTATTTTGGAGTAGTTTTAAGCTGAGTGGTTTTCCGAGAAGTGATTACCGAAACTGAACAAATAACGACAAAACACTGTGATAATTTGTAAGGTCGGTAAACAAATATTTAAAAGTCTCCCGAACATAACATAATAACAATACGATAAATGTAGATTTACGAACCAGAATGGACATAGGAATCCACACAAAATAGACTCACATATCGAAAATAAATGTAAGATCCACTAGAAGAGGTGACGGTGTGTACGTTACAATTATTATCACCAACCTCTGCCAATATTTGTATTTTTTTTGTGAATCACCAATTCACCTTGACAACACGACACTATAAAATTTATAAACAGACAAAAAAAAAAAACGAAAAATAATAATACTTCTGACAATGTTGATAAGAAAAAATATGTGTGGTTAAGATGGACTGAGTTAACGGTGCTATAGAGTTAATAGCCAGATTGATCTGTCCGCAAATGATGGGATATGTGAACGAGTGACCATGTTCTGCTTTCCTTATCTCATGCCGAAGCTTAAGCTAATAATTTTGTTGACATTGAAAATGCTAAAAAGATTTTGATTAATTATTTGATTAGTGTTACAGACTACTTTGTTTGACTGACCAGCCATGGCTTTGGACTTATGCAGAAGGTTCATATATCACATGAGTTTGAAGAGTCCAACATCTTCCTTTTTTTTTTTTTTTTTTTAATCTTTAGTTTGACATGTTTTTTCTACAATTTTTATCATGATTAAAATTAAGTTTAAAGGAAACAATTTTATTGTTAGTTTTATTTTTACAACGGTATCACAAAATTATAACAAAACCTTTTAATATACAAAACTAAAGTTTTGATTCTAAACATTAAATCTTGTGGAAGTCTTTTTAATCTAGTGGTTGAGCAAGAGTTGATTAATGCTAGTTTGTAATTCAACGCCCGTAGAATGCAATTTATTAATTAATTTGCTGATAAAAGAGAAAAGATAAGCTTATAGGAGATCTATAACTATGTTCAATCAGTAAAGCTGTTTGCTGTGTTTTTACGCATGAAGAAAGAAGAATCTTCCGTCCGAGAAAGAAGTGTAATATGTGGTGAATCTAATAAGATCAGAGAGAATTGTCTATAGTAGAATCGTCATTCCAACAATTATGATAATTTGCAATAATTAATTATTCTTTTTTTTTTTTGTAAACCGCAATAATTAATTATTCAAGAGTTAAAAAACCATATTCCTTAAAAATTATATTTTAAATATAAAATAGTCGACTCAAATCCAAAAGAATTATGTCTATGATAGTTTTTCAAAAACAAAGATTTCGTGATACTTTTGAAAATACAAATTTATATTAGTTTTTTCAACAAAAAAAAAAAACTGAAAGTGTGAATTTCTAAAAAGTAAAAAATTATTCAACTTCTTTTTTTTTTTTTTAAGTTAAGCGAATATTTATTTACAAATTGTTTTAAATGATAGCATCGAATTTAGAAAATATCTCTTGCAAAATACTATTTCTCCATTTTTGTTGATCATTTTACTTGCTTAAATGTGTGGTTAGTATGATTAACACTCTCCTAAACATAAATCACAAGCTTCTAACTTTTTTCTTAATACATCCTCATGTCAAAAAGCAAATTATGATATATTCTTGCCCATCCAATCAAGTAAATAAATTAATCTTATGAGGTATATAAATCACACATGCATGAGTGTTGTTAACATTTTATTTTTTTTGAATAATCAAAGAGGTTCTGGGCCGAATCCTATACATCCCTTCAGACCCGAAAGCAAATTATGTTATATGGTCTTGTCCCAAGCGCTACTCGAACCGGCGACCTCTAAATTTTTATCAAATTTTTTTGATCAGTTGAGCTATTAGCAATTGCCCATGAGTATTAACATTGTTTTGTATTTTTTCCTTTCTGAAAAAAAAGAAGAGATATTCTAAGATTTTGTTTGATTTGCTTAATTACATTGCTTTGTTTGTATCATCACTCTTTCAATATGTTCAACAAATATAAATTTTTTGGGTGATTTCACATATAAATACTTCAACGTTCCTCATGCTCTTAGTACTATAAACTCCACCAAACCAAGATACGTACTCTAAGGTATCTTTTTGTGCATGCCTTCCACGGCTCCAGCTAAGTTTAGGTATTTAGTAATGATACGAATATGTAGTTTGCACAAAGATTAAATACATTTCACTTATTTTATCATACGAAGATACTATAGTATATATATTCGTAATTGTTACGTCTAAACGTTTAATTACAGGTTTAAACTATACGAAATATGTAGAAACCCAAGGTTGAATCTTTGATTTTTTTTTTTTTTTTCGTATAAATTAATCGGCTGAATCTTTGTTGAATAAGATAAAAAATCTTCATATGGAACTACAATAATATTCATAATTAACATAATAATTGCTTTAGACCGTAGAACCGAACCGGAAACTGAACAGGACCAAAAAAAATCCAAAATATAATTATACATCCAAAATATTAATTATTCGTTTATTTGATATAAATCAACTAGCAAACTATAGTTATAAATTCATAAATATCATATAATTTTATACCAAAATAACAAGAATATTGAAAATAACGAAAATATTCCAAAGTATTTACGCATATGTATCAAAATTTAGTCAAATTTTATCGAAATTTAAACACTTTAAAGACAGTTTTACTATTTCGAATATCTGGAACCGAACCAAAAATAACGGGAAACCTAACCGAATCTAATCAAAATTTTAAAGTAACCAAATGAATAAAAAGTCCTCTACTCAAAATACACAGAATCGAATGAATATATTCAAAACTGAATTGAATACCCCAACACCTAGACCTGTACTAGATTATGTCCACTTATTGTAGGGACTAGGGAATGTACGAGTGGCCATCGATCTAGTGCAAGAAAACTTTTGTTTTCTTATCTCACAACAAGAAAACTTTTGTTTTCTTATCTCACAACAAGAAAACTTTTGTTTTCTTATCTCACAACAAGAAGTCATTGTGGATTATTATGGATGGTTGTAACTTATGAAGCTACTAGGTGTATATGAATTATAAAAAAATCATGAATTAAAATATGAAATCTATACAAGAATTTTGGCATTTGGTTATGACTTATGATATACATGAATTACATAATTTTGCAGGTTCACTAAACTCACAACTAATAAATTTGTACAATTCACAAATGTTGACTCTAATTAAGTGGATCAAATTGTCAGCAAATTGATAAGGTCACTGTCACGCTAGAGAGGATAGAACATCAAATCATTTAGACACGTATATTGAAATACAAACCAATATCCCACATCGAAATATTAGAAAGAGAAGTTTCTAATATATAAGTCAAGTCTAGCTCCAATTAGTATGAGGTCTTTTGGGAAGGAGCCCAACAAATCGGCACGGACTTGAGTTATGAGCCAAAAACGGACAATATCATATTAATGGAAAGTTGACTTGGGTTTAAAGAACCCAACAATTGGGTCAGAACCTATGTCAAGATAATGGATCTAGGAGGAGGCCAAAGGATCGTGGTCTACGATTTTAGGGGGAGTATTGGAATACAAACCAATATCCCACATCGAAAAATTAGAAAGATTTCTAATATACAAGTCAAGTCCAACTCTAATTAGTATGAGCCCTTTTGGAAAAAAGCCCAACAAATCCGTGCGGGATTGAGTTATGAGACCAAAGCGGACAATATCATAAAAGATTTGCTTGTTTAGAAATCCCAACAACATACGTTTAGTTTTAGATTGTAATTGTTCATGTTTAGTGTAGTCATCTATCCTCGATGTCAATGATAAGCATTCTGGTATCCACCATTAGAGCATGGTTTTTAAAATATACTATCTCCATTCCATTATATAAGATTTTTTAGACTTTTTTCTTTGTACCATTTTATAAAAAAGTTCTCCAAGTTTCTATGTAATTTTATATTAATTATATATTTTTTTACTACTTAAATTCTGCTGTATATTTTTCTATTGGTTGAATATTAACCAATTTTATCAAACGATACAATATTTATTGTTTCTTACTCTTTGTGCTTTTAGGCAAAATATTTATATAATGGAACGGAGGGAGTACTAAAATATTTTTTTACGATAAATGAGATTTATGATTTTTCTATTTTTTTTTAAATAACAAAAGATAAGTAAAATAATAATAAAAGAAAAAAGAAGTTGACCAATTATATGGACTAATGCATTATAATGCTCTTTGTTTCTACATAATATCATCTTATTTTCGTAAGGTAATGACTAATGCATATAATGCCTGTATTTACATAACATCCAAAAACTGTTTTACATGTAAATAATATCTATTTAGGAAAAAATCAATGTTATTAATAATGATGACGTTCCTTTCTGCGTTACATTCCCAAAATCGATTCCCAAGCTTTAAACTTATACATGATTAGCAAACATAAACTTATTATCATCTAGTGCAAGTATACAGAGCACATCATCTGTACTACTTTTTCTTACTTAACTTAAACATCAACTAAAAAACACTGAGAGAAAACAAACGAAGCTCCTATGAACCATGAATCAGTATACATAACAACCAAATGTAGTCCCACAGATTTATCAAAGACTTAGCAAAATCTCACATGAACAGTGCAGCGTTGACCTATGTAGAACCATGAATCTCCTTCCTCTTCTCCTCTAAAAACCGGGTAAGCAAATTAGAATCATTTTATATTCTAGGGAAAAAGATCATACTAACATTAGAGAACATCTAAACTTACCTTGAAATGAGTTCTTTTTCCTATCATTCTTTCCAGGTATTCAATCTTCTTTGCCTCGTCTGGCTGCCCAATACAACTCGCCTTGTTGATTAAGAAATACCATCTTTTCCATCTCCTTAACACAAGCAGCAGAACTATACGTATAAAAACTTTCTCTACCTCCCATAAAAAATCTTCCCTGGTCCTCGATAAGATCTAAGACTCGATCCCACTGATCTTCCCTTGAGTGCTTTCGAGATGATTTAGGTTGCTTTGATCTTGACCTTTTACCATTTTTCTGAGGTTGCTCAGAATTTTGAGCTACAGGAGAGGTGTTGTTAAGCTCAATATCTTCAACAGAATCTGCTTCGAAAGGCAAATGACTTGCTCCATCATGGTGTTGCCATCCATCATCCAATGAGCGGAATATCTCGAATAAGATAGTTACAGAGAGTTTTTGCTTCAGGTTTTTCCTATAATGGAGAAAGACAAACATAAACAATAGTCTGAAACAGATTATACAAATGAGTTTCCTAAAATTGAATATATTTACCGATTAGAGCACAAATGCGTCAAAATTGACAAGAAGACGTCGGTAACAATGGTGGGGAAGATAACAATAGAGGCTGATGGTAACTATGGTGGTGACTCGTGACGATCCGACGTGAGAAATATTGAGAAGAGAGAAGCTTTTTCTTTTTGCATAGAGAAATAAACTTTAGAAGTTATGTAAGTCTTTTAATTTAACAAAGACAAAATTGTAAAATGACAAGTAGATCGATGAGTTATATTAATATTTGTTTTTGGTCGTCGAAAGTTCTTTGTAAGAAGGCCCACTAGACATATTACAATACATGATAAAAGCTTTGACTTAAACCCAAACTAAATGAACCCAACAACAACAATGACAGAGATCCACTTGTATGGTGTAAACACAAGCGGACCCACTCTTTTTATCTTTTCGTTTTTTCTCACCGACTTAGAGTTGGATCGAAATTGAGTATTCACGCCGGCGATGAAAAAATGTAGGCTTGAAATCATATTTTTGAGACTTTCTACAATGTAACCGTTGCAAGAGTTGAATTATCCTTAATTGATTTCGAACTCAAACCATCCTCCAAGAAGAAGCTTCGCCTATGACATAAAGACAAGGTTTTTCAATATTTTACTTTTAAGGATATAACTACGAAGATATTACTCTATCTTTGGAGAAGAATCAGATTGATGGCTAGTTCAAACCTTAATAACTTATTCAAGCAAAGAAATGAATGACTACTTTACATCCATTCACCACAAATACTAGTTTGGCTCATTGGAGATAATTCCCTACTTCTTCACATCCACCGTGCAATGCACATTGTTATTGATAGACAAAAGAATTATGGTTTGCACTTCCGTGTACTAGCCAAAAGAATTGGCTGGGCAATAACAAGAAACGGTCGTCGTACGCTAGCCGGTAGCTCTACTAAGCGAAAAACCGCTTGATGGTTTTCTTTCGTGAATAACCATGTGGAGTGAAGGTAGCCAAGGAGAAGAGAAACAAGCTACCTTCGCCTACCTCCCATCTATAAGCGACAATGGTAAGAGATGGACGGCTAAGAGACTGGCACCAAACATTATATAATAAGATACTTTATACATTTTTAATAGATTGATGTTTCAACATTTTACATATATTAAAAAATATATACATATTTTTTGGTAAAAAGAAAAATAATATTAATCAGTACCAAGAAAACGGTGATTAGAAACAATATTATTATCTATGTATTGATTGAAAATATTAACCAAAGTTTGAATTTTTATGCTCAATAACAAATGAAGAGAAATTATAAGTAGAATAATATTTTTAATCAATAAATAAAGTAAAAATAAAACAAATACAAATTTCTTATATGTTGGAAAATGTCAAAAATATCTTTGAATGATGAAAGAATGACGACGTCGTTTTGAAAACAACCCAAAAAAAAAAATTTGGGTCCATCCTGAAGGAAACAAAAATCGAGCATCTTCTTCTTCTTTCACGTACGAAACAAAAACACACACTTGACGAATCCTCTTTAGAACAATAAAGCTCAAAGCAGAATCGAATCAGGTACGATCTTGAATCTGAATCACTCTCAATTTGGGTTTGGTTATTACTAAACCATTGATTTCTATCTCCTTTCAATTTTATATCTTTTAGCTCCTCATTATCTTCTGTCCTAAGTCTTAATCTGGGTTCGATTTCTTCAATGCTGTGATGGATCATCTCATTTAGTGATTATGGTTTTTGGGTTTTATCTTTTATCGTTTAATCTTGTATGGGATGACTCTGAATATGATAAAGTCATGACCTTTAAGTAGATTCTAGCTGAAATGATCGAGCTTTAAGGTCTACTCCTTTAATTGATATTGATTCTGAGCATAAAAACTGAAACTTTGCTATATAGAAGTTGCCTAATCATTTGTGTGATGTAGCTCTGAATCTTAGTCTTATGAGTTGATACTGAGTTAGAATTGAATCCACGTTTCATTGGGGTCTTTGTTTGAAGGATTGATGCATGTTTTGTGCCTATAACCTTTGAGTAGGTTTAGCTCAAAGATAAAAGAATTTTCTTTATTGCTGAAATGATCGATATTTGAGGTCTTATTCGTCAATTGATATTGATTATGAGCATACAAATTGAAGCTTTGCTATTTAGGAGTTGCCTAATCATTTGTGTGATGTAGCACTAAATCTTAGTCTTATTAGTTGATACTGAGTTAGAATTGATACCATGTTTCATTGGGGTCTTTGTTTGAAGGATTGATGTATGTTTTGTGCCTATAACCTTTGAGTAGGTTTAGCTCAAAGATAAAAAAGTTTTTTTTATTGCTGAAATGATCGATATTTGAGGTCTTGTTCGTCAATTGATATTGATTCTGAGCATAAAAATTGAAGCTTTGCTATATAGAAGTTTCCTAATCATTTGTGTGATGTAGCACTGAATCTTAGTCTTATTAGTTGATACTGAGTTAGAATTGAAGCTGTGTTTCATTGGGGTCTTCGTTTCTAGGATTGATGCATGTTTTATGCCCGTAAGGCCATAACCTTTGAGTCGTCTTTATTGCTGAAATGATCGATCTTTGAGCGATTGATATTGATTCTGACTTCTGAGAATACAAATTTGAACTTTGCTATATAGGGGTTGCTTTATCATTTGTGTTGCCATGGTTTGTCAATGTATCACTTAATGTATTAGTTGATTTTGAGTTAGAATTGCGTCCTTGTCTCATTGGATCATCACTGAAGGATTAATATATGTGTTTCTCTTTGCTTGTTTTAGTATGAATTTCTGGATCAAAGCGATGAAGCGTTGAGTTTAAGTATTAGCAGAATTTGTTTTGGCGTAAAGAAAGGTATTCATGTTATCCATCCCTGATACCAGAATGTGGAATCTAGCATCGAGTTATCTAACCGGAAACATGGGACCGAAACACGAAATAAGAAGACCAGTTCATCCTCATGCGGAATGTTCAGATGACGATGCATCTTCTGTAGGCAGTAAAGACGAAGGTCTCGAGTGTCCTATTTGCTGGGAATCATTTAATATCGTTGAAAACGTTCCTTATGTGCTATGGTGTGGACACACAATGTGCAAAAACTGCATTTTAGGACTTCAATGGGCTATTGTGAAATTGCCTACTCACCCAGTTCAGCTTCCTCTATTCATTTCATGCCCGTGGTGCAACCTATTGTCCTTCCGTCTTGTCTTTAGAGGAACCCTCAGGTTCCCTAACAAGAACTACTTTGTGCTTTGGATGGTCGAGAGGATGAATGGTGAGAGACGCAACTCACCCGGTAGAGCTCAAACGGATGGAAACAATGATCATACAAGGGAAACTCCATCTTCATGTCTCCACAATCGCCATCATCGCAGTCAACCTGTACAACCAGGTTCTGTTAATGATCATCACATTCCCAGGGACAACATACAAACTTCATTGAGAAAGTCTCTGGTCTTCTTCATCCAGTTGACAGCAAAGTTCCCATTGGTAGTCATATTTCTGCTGATAATACTCTATGCAATACCGACCAGTGCAGCCATATTGGCTATGTACATTCTAATCACTCTCTTGCTGGCTCTACCATCATTTCTCATCCTCTACTTCGCGTATCCTTGTCTCGACTGGCTTGTCCGAGAAATTGTCACATGAACTTTCTACGAATGCTTTCAGAAGCTTCCCACTCCTAATTTGACGACTTTTCTTCAACAACTGAGTCCCAAGATTGGTCCATCCTTCATGTAAGTATAACAATTTTCTTTCTTATCTATATATGGTTGTAGTTCTAAATTGCATTGTTGCTCTATGGAAGCTGAACAAGAGACATTTGTATGTGTTGTAACGGCTCCTACAGAAACTTTATAGTATTGTACTATTCGAGGATTTGTCAGTGATTGTTTCAGGTTTTGTCTCAATAAGATTTGTATATAAATTTTCATTGGTTTTTCATTGTTTTAGGAGCCTTTTCTTTAAAATTGCTTTTGGATGATAAAGTTGTGATTGACAATATCATAAATCTGCTTTTTGGAATAACACTCCTCTTGAGAAGAGTGAGTTATATAGCATTGCAGCCACACCTTTGAATGACTTTAAACTTAATTTTATCCCAGTTTTGAATCTTGGAACTCTGATTAATCCTCCTCATTAGCTTGCATTTTACATTAACCTCTAAAATGAATAATACAAATTAACTTCCAAAATTAATAATTTAACGAAGAAATTTATTGATTTATAGAAATATAGTCCACCTTTCACTAATAGTATTGTGTGTGAGATTTGACAAAAGAAAATCTTATGAGGTTAAGACTTGTATATAAATTAAAATTTGATAGTTTAAGACTGAGAAATACCCTTGGATACCACAATTTAAGTTTTTAGAAGTTAGTTTTGAATGTTAAAAAGTTAAATTTTAGTAGTGTGGTATTTTAGGAAAATTTGTATTTTTGTGGTATTTTTGGAAAATAAACTTCACAATTCCAAAAAAATAATCTTAGTAGTATTTAAGAAAATTCCCTTCTAAGATTTGTATATAAATTTTATGCATTGCAGCCATACCTTTGAATGACTTTAAACTTGGAGTTGATCCCAATTAGAAACTTAGAAATCTGAATTTAATCCTCCTCAATTAGCCTGTATATATTAACCTCTAAAATTAATAATTTAACTAAGAAATATATTGACTTATCGAAGTACTAATTTATCGAGTCTTAATTTATAAAGATTATTTTCTTCACCCTTGCTTACTCTTTTTTAGTTTTGTGTGTGACATATTTGACAAAAGAAAACCTTATTTCAAAATTATAATGCGACTGATAAACACTAAACACAATTATAAAATTTATAAAAAGTATCATAGATTCATTAAAGAATATTGTATAACATAAAGGTATCGATGCATCTAACAAAAATCTTCATCATAAAATTTAAAATTAAAAAAAAAAAAAAATTGATACTCATATGGAACTAGGCTGGTCCGTGGTCGCGTGTTCGGCCGTCATGAAAGCAAGACCAAACCCATGACACGATGCATGCGACAGCTAACAAGAAAAGTATGCATAGTGCGATAAGTTGCGTTACTGCCATATGAAACATATTGTGTCTTCGCCAAACTTATGTGTGATCTTGTCTTTTCTTCATTGTATTTTGTAAATATATATTAATCTTCTACAAGAGGAGTAATTTAGTTGCCTTATGTTCATATTAAAATATGTTAATTCATGAAAAGAAAAATGAAAAGTTAACATAACAATTATACGATGCAAATATACATTTCTCTTTAATATGGAAATGAAAGAAAATAAACGGAAAAAAAAAGAAGAAGAAAAGTTTACATATTTATTAGAAGATGCAAATATTTAAATGTGTAAATCAAAACTTAAAAAATAGAAATAAAATAAAATGAAAATATAGAATCTATCTATATAAAGTTAGCTTTTTCTCTCTTCTCATGACGCCACCTAAGCATCCACCTAAGCCACATTTTTGTTTAAACATTAAAATAAATATAAAACATTCATTTAGTGCATATTTATGTTACTTATTTAATTAATAGAAAGTTTATATACATAAAAATAAATTATGTAAAAAAATGAAATGTTAAAATAAGAAAAACTATACTTTAATTTTTTTATTAGTGGTAATAATATAATTCAACTTTCATTTTAAATTGATCATAATTTAATATTTTAAATATGTTACTGAGTTTTAGAATGGAAGTAAAATTTAAATTTATGATAGACTAAAACAGCATTTATGTAATTGTATATAAAAAATTATAAAGAGGAAAAATAATATGAAAGTGAAATATTAGTTTATAACATGATCAAAAAGAAAAAAAAATGATATTTCATAAATTGAATCAAATGCTTTTAATCCAAATTTGAGTATTGAAAAATAATAATCAAAGAGAAAATACTTATAACATTTTTTGAAAATCAATTAAAAAATAATAAAATATCACAATATGAATAGAAAATCAACAAAACAAAATTATAAATCTCCCGCGCGGAGCGCGGGTCAACTGCTAGTTATACTATATGCTTGGCTTTATTTATTTGCCGATCGGTTAACTTAAACGCAACGGTTGCCGTTACAGTTGCGGTTTCAAACACTAGCTATTATTATTAGGGGATTTGCACAAATAACCTTTTTACACCATTTTCTATAAGTACCATCTCTGGGTTTCTATTTTCAAAAATACCCTCTTGAATACAAAATAGCTAAATTACCCTCCTTAGGTAGAACACATAATGAAGAAAGGAATATTTTTTCCAACAAAAAGAATATTCCTCCAAAAAATTTCCCGCTAAAAATTTCTGACATAAAATTTTCCGCAGCAAAATTTTTCCGCCATAATTTTTCTTCAATTCCTTTAAAAATCCTTTAAAAAAGCTTGTAAATATTTTTAAAACCCTCTAAAAATCCTTTTAAACCCTTGTAAATCTTTTAAAAGTCATCCAAAACCTTTAAAAACTTTAGTAAACCTTTGTAAATCATTTTATAACATTTATAAACACTTATAAATCCCTTTAGAAACTCTTGTAAACTCTTAAAAAAACCATTTTAAAGTCCTTGTAATGCCTTTAAAAACCTTTGTAGACCCTTTTAAAACCTCTGTAAACTTGTAAATCCCTTTAAAACCCCTTGTAAATCCTCTAAAACTATTTTTAAATCTTTGTAAATATCTTTAAAAATCCTTGTTAATCCTTTTAAACCTTTTTTAAATTTTGTAAATCCTTTTAAAAACCATTTTTCAAACACTTGTAAATTCTTTTAAAATCCCTTAAAAACCCCTTAAAAATCTTTGTAAATTTATAAAAATCATTTGAAAATCTTTTAAAAATCCTTGTAAATTCTTTAAAAACCGTTATAAACTTACAAAGTCTTTTAAAAACCATTGTAAATCCTTTAAAAACCATTCAAAAACCTTTGTAAGCTTCTAAAACCCTTTAAAACAATTACAAATGTTTTAAAAACCATTTAAAAGCTCTTGTAAATCCCTTTAAAATCCTTGTAAATCCTTTAAAAATCCTTGTAAACCCATAAAAAAAATTTGGCGGAAAACATTTAGCAGATTTTTTTTGGCAGGAAAAATGGCGGAAAATTTTTTGGCGGTAAAATTTTGGCGGAAAAGTTTTTGGCGGGAAAATTTTTGGAAGGAATATTCCGTCCAGGAGGGTGTTGGTCGACACTGTTGATCGTTGTCGAGGTGACGGTCGACACTAGTGTGGGTGTATCGACACCGGTTCTGGACTGCGAGTAGTCCGTGTCTTTTTATGCTTGGTTTTTCTGTTTGATCGATCTAATGTATGTTTGTTGGTCTATTATGTATGTGTGTATAACCCAGTAAACGGGAGGATCGTTTCACTGAGTATTTGTAGGAATGCTCACGTATTTTGTTGTTTTTGTGATGAAGGTAATGATAAAGTGTGATCGTGGAATCAAAACGATGAAGAGGGCGATGATCTAGAGTCGATGGGTGTTTTGTGTTATTTAATTTATTGTTCTGGAACCTTGGATTTAGAGGCATGCTAGGTTCTGGTTATGTGATTGATAATTTATTGATTATTGATTAGATTTGTTGGATTATCGATTTATATTTTGTCTTACGCTGTGGTTTGCATGTTGGTTTAGTTTGTTGGTTGAATATTCATTGTGGGGTTAATATTGATGAATTAAAACGGGAAAAACAGGCTAGGTTGTTTCAATGGGGCCTACTGGGAGTGGTGACAGTCGGGGCGTTACAAATAAAATGTGATTTTCCTGATTTTTTTTAGAATAACAATTTACTATATTGAATGATCAAATAATCTTTTCAAACTGAATAATCAAATTAAACAGGATACAAATTTATAAAAGAGAAAAACAAACAAGCAAACATAAAAAGAGAACAATTTTTATTTGTCCATTACAGTAAATGAGAGGGAAATATAAATGGAGCTCAAATCTAAAAGTGTTTTACCTTCTAAGAAAAGGGTAAAGCTCATACCTTAAGCTACAACTCCTACCCAAAACTCTCCCTCCTTGTCTATTGTCGAAGTAGTACCTTTCATACCTTCCCATAATCCATTCTAGACACACATAGCAACCGTTGGACCCTAAGTCTAATGCACATTGCACCATTGCATACATCTTATTTTCTCCTATATATTCTTGTCTCTCCCACTGCGTATGGTTCGTTTCTTTCATCTGTATCCTTGGTGGCTCCTAACATTAGCTTGTGGAAGAGATCCCTCCTTTTATTTTAAACTTATTCGGATCGCCGCTCACGTTCTTTATGTTGGTCATACTGAAACAACTATCGTAAAGGATCCTTCCCTCGGTATTGAATGAAGAAATCTCCAAAACCCATTGGTCGTACCATATTATTGCTCCTCTCTTTCTTGGACATCTCTCACGAAGCTGTCATATTTATACAACAGGTTCGATGGTAAGGGAGAATTGGGGAAATGTTGGAAGGAACTAACCCAGGTTCGATCCACCTAGGAAACAAAAATCATGGTTGTGTGGGAAGTCTGTCAATTGGGCCAAGGCCCAGTTGGTTTACCTGGTAGTCAGAAATGCAGGCGGCTTGACTACCTCTGGCATTAGTCGGAAAGCATTCCAAACTCGGGATAGACAGTGTGGTGGCCCTTCGGGGAGTAGTCCACTCTGAAGCACTTTGGTGCGTTTCTAGCGGGGCTGACCGGATCAGCCGATAGGGTTTATCAAAAAAAAAAATATATTTATACAACTTTATTTATATCCATGGAAAAATATATGTGACTTGTAATATATTGAAGTAAAGTTAAGTTACCCCAGAGAGGGCTGTGTGGAGGCAGGAGTGGCACTTGGAACCGTAAGAGTCACCGCGGCACTGGAGCAAAACGAAGACAATGTTGGGATCTTTACTAACTGCGTAAGCTTCAACATTAGAGTTGTAGGTGTAACCGTGGCGAAGATTGAGGCCAGAGATGTTACGGATGACTTGAATAAGATTTTCTCGAATATACTCCCTGGACTGTAAGTCCTTGATGAGGACATCCAAACCACATCAAACGAGGATCAAACCAGACCAGCCGGTTCGAGCCTCAAACCAACCATACCGGACAAAAATGAAGGATTCTTGCCCAAATGGAGTTCAGATGAAGCACATGGCCTAGGATTGATTATTTACAATAAAATCAATCCTAAGAAGACTCATGGTTCAAGAGGAATCATAAACCAACCGGCCAGAATGAAGACTGTCCACGACGACCCATCCGTACCGTACCATGTTCAATTCCATCGACCACATGAAGACTTTCTTCGACCTATAATGAAGATTCATCAGCAAATCACACATTTTAGGAAGATCTATCGAGACAGAATTGAAGAAGAACGACCTGAAATCAAGATGGTTCATGAAGACCCGTTTCAACCGTACCATGAGCAAGCGTATGGAACCACCGACCAAACCACACGTACATTCAAGCTGGGATTCAAAATACATCCACAATATGTACATTTTAAGAGGAATGATCGAGAAACATCAGTCCATCATCGAGGTATTTTGAGAGATGGACATGAGAGCCTCCTCGGACATGTCCAATGGCGAGCTAAGCCACAGTTTGGAGAATCCACTCGTACATCTGACCTCGGCTTCATTATTCACCACAAAACCAACGATATGGAGCATTATGATCGAGCCAAACCACCCCTGGTTCGAGTTGGATTTTCACTTACTCATTTGGCCTTACCCGAGGGCCATATGTCGCCGAAAATGGAACTTTCCGTATTTGGTTCCTTGGAGTCTTATTTTTGGAGACAAGGAGAACTTATATACCATTTAGAGACTCTCCAATATGCCTCAATATGCACCAGCATCCAGAGGATTAGGCGAATCCTCTTCCACTCCAACTTTCCATTTGTAGGCGCATTCACACTAGGAGTGTTTAGACATCAACGGCTCTATTTCTACCAAAGCTGATGCGTTTTAAAGACTCTAAAAACATTACAGAATGTTCCAAGACGTCACACATTCCTCCCCAAGCTTTCAAGATACAAGAGAAGACACTTTCCTTATTTTGGCCGATTTTGTCATCAAAGCTCCAACGGCTATATTCTTTATATTTTTGCGATTTGTTTTCTTGTTTTAGACTCTAGGAACGTTGTATATTGAGCCTATAAAAGCTCAGCTCGTGATTCATTGTAAAGCACCCATGATCATTGAAATTAAAAGAAAGCGTTTTCTTCTTTATAAAGTTCGAGTAACTTTGTGTTTGTTTGTTCTTTAGATTTAAGTGTGTGATTCACTATAGTCTATTGAAGCTGCGAATTAAGAGTGTGTTGAGTGATTCATCCCTCTTGTTCGTCCATTGATTGAGCGAGTCAATCACGTCTATCCATCGATCCACCGATCAATTCTTCTTTGTTCGTGGTTCCATCGAGAGAGAGCGAAGGCCAACTCGAGAAACCCTTTCTGTCCGTCCGTTAGCCCTTCGGAGCGTATATCAGTCCTTTATGTATTGTTGCATTGGTGGTGCAAATACTCATTGGTTACATTCTGGGAAGAAACGTTCTGTATAAGGAGGAGTTGTATGGCCACCAAGGCCAAGATAGGCACCCACCCAATAATATTTGAAGACCATTGTTTGGGACAATTGTTTTCTTTTCTGTTTTGTCCTTTTTTCTTTCTTTTATATTTTTAATTATGAGAAGAATCAGCTGAGGAGTTTGAAAGTTTATATAGGAGACTTGACAAGGAGAGCTGAAATATTTTAGTAACAATTCAAAGTTCTATATTAAGCTTTAGAACCGATGAGAGGACCGATGACACATTCAAAGTTCAAATGTTTGCATAATTTAAAAATTCTGAGTCATATGACACGAAAGGTGTCAACCTGAAATGTAGGTAATATTAGATATGTTCATCGATGAGAGACCCATTGAGTTTATTTTGTAAATTTGATTTATTTTGATAAAATCTAGTTACTTAGAAAAAACATGTGTCACCATGTGAAAGTCTTTCGTAGGTATCTTAAGGTTTCTCGTATAAGAAAACATAAGAATCGGTTCTAGTAATTTTTAATTGAAAAATTATTACCATTTTTTAATTATTTATTTTAACTATTATGCAGTTAAAATATTATGGTATTATGCATACATCAGTTGGTTTTAGTTTATTATGCAGTTATGTTGACAAATCTTTTTTTTTCTTGTCAACAACATTCATATAATTCACTCAAATGAGTCAAGAGATAGGAACGTTGTTTACATAAATACATAATAGTGGTTGAACACGCAATTTGCGTGCTAATAGAACGAGAGATTTTAACAAAAAGAATTGAGAATTTTTTTTTTACATCAGAGACTGTTCATCACATATCTTTTCTTTTTATAGTAGACAATATTTAAAGGTGATTAAAACCTTAAGAATAGATTAAAGTCTTTTCTTGTCAAATTATTTTTTTCTAATTTTGTTTTAATCACGAAAATTTCCTTAGGAAACTAACAATGCACATGGTTTTAGTTTATTACAAAGTTGTATAATCATAGAATTTCATCGGAAATCTAAAAATGATTAAAATCTCAAATTGTGGATTTCGGAAAATATTCTTAGATGATAAGAGTGGGTTAACCAAGTCGCTTTGGTTCAATGGTAAAGGGAGGTAAGTCCCGCCACCTGCGTTCGAGTAGCATTGGCCACAATGATTCGAGATTTAACATGGTTACCCCGGCTCCAGGAAATTAGTTTTTGGGTCTACAAAGCCTTTGGGATCACTCCATAAATATATATATATATATATAAAAGATAAGAGTGGGTTGATGTACATAGAAGACAATGTCAATTTGAAATCAGAGCTGAAGTAAATGAGGAATAAAAAAGGACACATTTAGGCCATCTTTATCGGCACAACCGCAAGCTTTTAACCCATTAAAAATGAAAAAGTAAACAAACAGTGAAACTGCAAGAGATAATATCGGATGTTAGTTAAGATGTTTTGAGAGAGGGTTCCTCTACCAGGTGTCAAGTCGTGAGTGGCTGTTAATAATAATTTTGTTTCTCATTTCTATTTTCATTGTTTTTTATTGGTTATAAATAATTTTGAATTGTATTTATTTTTTCCTTTTTTTCAAATCTGTTTTATGTTTATTTTTATAAGTTTTCAATTTATAAATTATTTATTTAATTTTAAAAATTTATAATATGTTTTATATTTTTATATTATTTAAAATTTTAAATCCTAGAGGTTCAACCAATAATCAACTGGTTCTTAACTTAACTTCTTACATTATTAATATGTTTAAAAGTTCCTAAGATACATTTTCCCACTTATCCCTTTAAAAATATCTTACGGAGAAACATAGGATTAAATTATCATATTAATTCATTGGTTGTATATAAGATACAAAACCTTGTAGAGAATTTTTGAGAAATACCCCTTTTGGTGTGCCCCTTTTTAAAAATACCCCTCTTTTCTATTCATTTTCAAAAATACCCCTTTTCAAATATGAAAAATTATAAACCTTTATATGGTTGATAAGGTACATCAAGATCATCCTTACTACTGGGAGACTAAATCCAAATATTTAGAAGGTTTTAAAAGGTTATAAACGACATTTATACGGTTTTTATAAGGTTTTTAAAAGGTTTACACAGTATTTATAAGCTTTTTATATGATTTTTTAAAAGGTATTTATACGGTACCTATGAAATATATAAATAAATTTATACACATGTAAAGATAATTTGTGTCTACAAATATAAGTTTATACATATTTTTTTGATAAATTTCAAATTTTATTGTGACTTTTTGATAAAATTAGAAAAAGGGGTATTTTTAAAAAGTGGTATTGGAAAAGGGGTATTTTTGAAATTCCCCCCACTTTGTATACCAAAAAAAAAAAAAAAAAGATTACTTTAACGATTAATACAAAAAAAAAATTTGAGGGCTACCCAAAAAAAAATATCACTTTAATTTTGAGGGATCAAACCTCTCTCCACACAAAACATGGGTTTGGGAACCAACATGGCGACATCCACAATGAGTCATATGAACTCATAGTTTAATTGAGAAATAAAAATACATAAAATAATTAAAATAAATCATTAAAATATATGTGACACAATGGGTGCAGTAAACAACTTCAATTGGTACCAAACATATGGAGATTGATTAAACCGTTGACTGTGTTCTATGATGTGAAACAAAGACTCAAAAGAGCATTCGAATGCGATGTATTCAAAAAGTGAAAAGAGTCAAAAGCTGTCTTAGTTTGTGAGTTCCTCTTCTACTGCAGCAAAATCAAGTCCCGAAATCTTCATTGGTCCAATGTTAACTGCAAAAACCCCCAAATCAGTATGTTGGTTCAACAACAGAGCAAGAAAAAAAACAATGTAATGAGAATGCCACAAGAAGAAACTGTTGATTCTACGTACTAACGGCGTCAAGTCCAGCTAATTTGGGCATAAACTGTCTGATATGGTCTTCTGCTGCTTTATCTGCCTTCAATGTCTCACACTCGAACAAAACCGATACTTTCTTCTTCCCGTGTTTTTGTTCCACTAATCCTATGACATCTTCCTCCCAACTTATCAAAGACAAGTAGTAATTTATTAATCATAAGATCGAAAGACTCACACAAAAGGGTTTTAAAATTTCAACTTATGCAAATGTCTGAAAAGCTATGTGTTTTATGACATTCCAACTCCAACTTTGGTAAACTATCATATATACAAAACTCGCATAGGTTGATTTACATAACAACAGATACTGGAAACTTTACCCGTGAGCATGCTCGACATCATTAATACGAGCAGCATCATGGCCTTTGCATTCCACTACAACTGTTTGTTCCTTCTTACTCTTTTTCACCAAAAGAAAACGAAGAACAGATTCAATACCACGATTTTTGGAAATCAAAATCAAGCCTTTAAGAGTTACAAAAGGAAGTGAGAAATTCATACATTGTAGTCTATGACAGTGAGTTTGATCAACCTATAATCCTCACCGCGGCTGCACTCAGTCTCACAAGCCAGTTCTTTGATATCAATAATACAACAAAAACGCAGTGTCATGTCAAATAAGCCACACTAATCAAGCTATTGACTAACAAAGATGTCTCATGTTTAACCATTCCTAGTATCAATAGATCTAAAAGTCTTTAATCTGACTCATTTACATACTTAAAGACCAAACAGTTCCATCAAACCCAAGCTAAATGGGATATAGACAAATAGTAACACAAACATCTACTTGCACAACAACAAATCAAACCCATCAAAGTAAGAGAAGAGTGAAATTACATACCAGTGCCATGGAGACCATAACAGATGGAGCTAGGCATTTGAATGAAGTGGCCAGAGATAGACCCGCATGGCAACAAAGCTATAGATGCTACTCCTTCCTTCACTTCTCCTTCATCAGCCTTCTTCTTCTTCTTTATCTCACCTTCTCTTCCTTCATCTGCAATCACACCATTCCCTTTACCACAACATCAATTCAAAAAAACCCAGAAACAAGTTTCGAAATTTCCAATAAAGCTAGAAACTTTACCCATTGTTGCTTGATAGAGAAATCGATTCCTTTTACTCAACCAAAGTGTTCTGCTTTGAGAAAAAGCTTTAGGGTGTTTTCAAGTTCAACTACTATGAAACGACTGTGTTTGAAGGTCCTTTAAACGACATCGTTTCCCTTTTCAAAGCCTAAAACCCCGTCGTTTTGCTGTCTCTCTCTCTCTGAGCTCTTCTCCTTCCTTGCACGCTCGTCATCCCTAGAACAGAGCTTGATTCATCAATTCCGCTGAATAAGAACAGGGCTTTGGTTTGGTATCTTGGGTACTCGTTAGACTTGAAGTGGGTACTGAAAATTTCAGTAAAGTTGTCAACTTTTTGCTGATTAGGAAATGGTTTCTTAGCTCTCTTCTGAGTTATGCTGAAAGAGTAAGCTTTCTCTGTTCTGTGTTGAATTTGGAGGTGTAGATTGTTGCGTTTTGCTATTTACTGTATAATCATGGAATATGTCTGGTTGAGTCCTGTCTCCATCACTGCTACATTGAATCGATTGGATTGTGGATGTTATTCAATTGAAAAGAGAAGTTGTGTTTGGAGAACTTGTCATTGGTCTTTGAGTCACTCATTGGACTTTGGATTGACCATGAAACCGAAACAAAGGCGTCTAGGTGTAAAAATGGAGTCTTTTTCTATGGCAACACCAAGAATGCGATTGAGGATGGTGAGTAGTGAATTAGACAGATCTTTCAATGGTGAAGATGTGGTTTTTGGTTCTGAATTGGAGCCTGGACATGGATTGAGAGAAAGAGGGGAAAATGGGTTAGAAGAGAAGCCTGTAGTGTATAGGAATAGGATACATTTTCTGGAGGAAAGGAACGAAGAGATGTTATCGAGGAGACTTCTGAAACTTAGCAGGTTGGATAAAGTTAGAAGCGCATTGGAGTTGTTTGATTCTATGAGATTCATGGGTTTACAACCCAGTGCTCATTCGTGTAACTCTTTTCTCTCCTGCCTTTTGAGGAATGGAGATATTCAGAAAGCCTTTACCGTCTTTGAGTTCATGAGGAAAAAGGAGAATGTCACAGGGCACACGTATAGCTTGATGTTGAAAGCTCTTGCAGAGGTTAAGGGTTGTGATTCTGCGCTAAGAATGTTTAGAGAACTAGAAAGGGATCCGAAACATAAGAGTTGTTTTGATGTGATCCTGTATAACACCGCCATTTCTCTATGTGGTCGGATAAATAATGTGTATGAGGCGGAGAGAATATGGAGAGTTATGAAAGGTGATGGTCAAATTGGAACTGAGATTACATATTCTCTGCTTGTTAGCATTTTTGTTCGGTGCGGGAGAAGCGAATTGGCCCTTGATGCATATGAAGAGATGGTTAACAGCAACATATCTCCGAGAGAGGATGCAATGTGTGCGATGATAAGTGCGTGTACGAAGGAGGAAAATTGGGATCTGGCGTTAAAGATATTCCAAAGTATGTTAAAGAAACGGATGAAGCCTAATCTTGTAGCGTGCAATACATTGATAAATTCGCTGGGAAAGGCGGGCAAAGTCGGATTGGTGTTTAGGGTTTACAGTGTTGCAAAATCTTTGGGGCATAAAGCCGACGAGTACACATGGAATTCACTGCTCACGGCTTTATACAAAGCAAACCGCTATGAAGATGTTCTTCAGCTGTTTGATATGGTACGAAGCGAAAACCTGTGTTGTCTGAATGAATATTTGTACAACACAGCTATGGTGTCATGCCAAAAGCTTGGTTACTGGGAGAAAGCTGTGAAGCTTTTGTATGAAATGGAAGGTTCCGGGTTAACAGTTTCAACTTCATCATATAATCTGGTGATAAGCGCCTGCGAAAAATCAAGGAAGTCGAAAGTTGCATTGCTAGTATATGAGCACATGACTCAAATGAATTGTAAGCCAAACACTTTTACTTATCTGTCGCTTGTAAGGAGTTGTATTTGGGGTTCTCTTTGGGACGAGGTTGAAGATATCTTAGAGGTACGAGTTATCTTTATGTTTGTTATTCAAACGTGTGCTGATTTAGAAGAGGTTATCTAATGTTGTTTCCTTCTTGAACAGAAAGTGGAACCCGATGTGTCCCTTTACAACGCAGCTATACATGGGATGTGTCTAAGACGCGAGTTCAAGATTGCAAAAGAGTTGTATCTCAAAATGAGAGAGATGGGTTTAGAACCGGATGGCAAAACCCGAGCTATGATGTTACAGAACTTAAAGAAACACCGAAAATAAGGTTATAATGCTTTTTGTTCTACTCATACATCTTACTTCTTAGCATTGCACAGTCTCATAAACCAAAATGCACTAAAAGAGATAGCCTTATATTGGTCAAGAAACAGATAATTACTTTGGTAACAAGCAAATCAAGTTTGATCTCAGCTTCTTGGTCAATACGACATAGCTTTGAGCCTTTGACTAGAATCTTTAAACTCACTAAAACCTTCTTTAGGTTACAGTAATACCCTCCTCCCCAAATGTGCATATTACAATTACAATATATTAATTCCAAGCTCGTAAAACAGAGTACCTCGTGTTCCTCGTAACCAATCCTTCTCTCTCTGCAACAGGACCACTACAGTCACTGTAATAAAGCAACAATCTTCCCGCCAAGAAAAACAAAAGCTGCTTCTTACACAACTAAATCACTCTTCTATGTTCTTGCTCAGACATACCCAACATAGAGAGTTAAAAGATGAACAGCTCCTCCAAGGTGATAATGGCAGCTACAATGGTAATGGTAGTAAGCTTAGTCATGGTTTTAAGCTTAGTCTTAGTACTACTAGCTGAACTCTACTGCTCTCTCTTACTCCGCCGTCGCCGCCACCACAACTCTCACAACCTCCCCATCACCACTACTACCGTCTCCGCCGCCACAACTCTCAACCAAGTCATCTCCACCACAAGCAACGAACATTCACCTTCACCAACACCATCCAACATAGATTCTTTATCAAACCCTCTCTACACAGGCGTTCTTCAAACTCCAACCAAAACACCATCTTTACAAGCTTCTCTTGATCTGATTCAAGAAACCACAGTTAACGATTCTTCTAACCACAACAACAAGTCCACAACAGCTTCTTCTCTTGACAACTTCATCTACATATCAAACCCGATTTACTCTACAAGTAAACAAACAACACCCTTTGAAACACCTCAGTCTTCACCGTCACGTCTTGAAGATGAAGAAGACGATACAATCCAAGAAGAAGTCTCAACAACAACACCTACATTGTCTCCAATGAAAGATCTACCTGAAAAGGCATGCTCTGTTTCACTAAAAGATATTGAAACTTCTCCTAGTGAATCCAAGAACAACAACAATGGTGAGTCATCGTCGTCTTCGTCGTCTGGTTCGCCGTATACTTCACCGTCGTGGTAGGGTTTTAATTGTAATTCTTTAGGGTTTTGTTTGGGTTTTTTTTGTCTTTTTCACAATTTTTGTTTTGTTTTGGTTTGGAGTGTTCTTGGAATGTGTATGTTTTGTTGGACATATGGGCTCAAAGACCAAAGCCACGCTTGTTTTCACTGAGTTTCCTCCATCTGTCTTTTTCTATGTTCTGATTCTGTGTCCTCTGTGGTATAAAAGCTGTTTTACACCAAAAGAAAATTTAGTTTTATAATAGTAACTCAAAAGTAGGATAAAGCTACAAACTTTAGCTAAATTGTTAAATTCTATACTTTCAATACGTCTTATTGACTTCTTGGTTAATGTAAGTTGCTAAGCACATAACTCTGATGCTAGTTAAGGGAAAAATGTTTTTATTATTGCTTGTGGGAGTTGGAGTTCGGATATTTGGTACGGTTTCGGATATATCTATTTGATTATAAATAATTCGGGTAGAAAGGTTTAGGTCTATTTCTCCTAGGTTATTTTAGAATTTTGATTTTGGGTAGAGTGTTCCGCTTAAACATAATTAAAATTTGATTAAATCTTGACAAAATGTCTAAAACTTTTGGTTATTTTGATAGATAAGTACATAGTGTTTACGGATTTATAATTGTAATTTTGGTAATCAGATTATATCAAATATAAATTATAACTAATATTTTAAATATATAACTATATTTTAGAGTTTTTAGATATCCATTCTATTATCGGTTCGGTATGGGTCTGGGTCCGCTTTTTTGTTATGAAAATTTTTCATTTTGTTAATGCTTTAGTTTTAGTTTGGTTTCTTTTTGTCGGTTTATTCGGTTCAGTACTTTTGGTTTGGGTATTGTTCTCAAGATTATTATGAATATATGATACGAAACACATGAAATTATAATATTATAAAATTGTAATTGAACGATAAAATTATTTTAAAATTATCTCTATCTCTATAATAGTAAAAGAGAAGTACAAAATAGAATGTGGGTCGGATCAAAATTAAAAAATTAACCTGATTGAAACAATTGTATACTTCAAAATTGGATATTAAAATGTATTCGGATACATACATCGGATACTTTCCATATCTCATTTTAGGATTATATTATTTCCATAACTAATTTTAGGATTTCCTAATATTTATCTAACTGATTTAATAGAATATATTAAAAACAATTCATTCTTCTTTCACTTTTATTTGATCTTATTTTCAATTTATAATATTATACTAAATATGAAAAATGTTTAAAACTTTTTTAACTTCTTTTTCGCAAATGTTGCAATTTGAATTTTTCAAAACGGACATATAATACTCAATTACACTCGGTTAAATATTTTGGACAATAATTTAAAATCATTATAAGTATGACCAATATTAAAATCAATGTTACATGAGCATATTTAAAATTTTAAAAAGTTTCAAAATATTATAATAAAAAGGTTCAAATATATAAAAATTTTAGATTTAAAATAGTAAAACTATTGTTTTCAATACATAAATGTAAATTTGGAGACATAAGTTTTATTGATAAAATATTATATATCAAACTACGTAAATTTTAGATAGTTCACGGGTAGTTTTCTAAAATCACAATTATAATGGTAAAGCGAGTAGTGAATAATGTTTTTACGATATGAATTATGTTACGGGTTGGTACTTAAAAAAATATATTGTAGTATGTAATTTTTACGTCTATTCCTACTTCTACTACAAAAATGGTCAAATTGAATAATTTATCGATAAATATTATTTCGTGCTATAAAATTTTCACCCTTTTTTAATTGTAGCAAAACTCAATATATTATTATTTACTTGCTTTTTCCTTTTATTATTTTATTTAAACTTATTTTCTTTGTAATCTATTAAACTTATTATACAAATATATGATTCATTGTAACGACTGCATTGTAATAAAATTAAACTTTAATATATTTTAATTCGTTAATTTTTTTTTTTTTTAGTAAAAGATTAAATAAATTATTTTTAATAATCCGTTAAACTTTATATATAAGTAATTATTTCCCCCGTGCAGGTCAAAACCTAGTAAAATACAAATTAAGATGCAAAATCTACAAAACTTAAAAACCTTGTCCAGTTGTCCTTGTGCAAACATATCCGGTTAAGTGCGACCAGTCATCAATAACATGAAAAGCGTGCCGGATCGTTGTAACTGATAAGCACTACGTGCCGTTTTATTTGTCTTCATCTTCTAAAATCTTTCTCAGTCACGGGACCGATTTGGTCAAAAACCATTTAATACTTCTCGATCTACTAGTAGTAGACTCCGCCGCCGATTCTATGGCATCTCATCACCACCACCACAACCACGGCTGCTCACGCCACCAGAACCACCACAATACCATCCCTCTATTCACAACGTCATCTCACTGCTGCACTCAAATCAACCACCAAACTCCTCCTCCTCCGCCGCCGCCGCCGCCGGAGGATAATCTTCTTCATCTCGTCGCTGCTTACCTCCAAAATCAGCAACAAGAAACGAAATGTTCCTGCGAAACTTCGTGTCGAAACTTCATTAGAGGTCAGCGCCAGCAAAAGAATGTTCCACGAGAATACGACCAAGTTGTTCTGTCTTGTCTTCTCCGAAAAATCGATGATCTTGAATCTTCGCTCAGCAAGTTTTCATCTTTCTGTGACCAACGTCGAGATCGTCACTCTAAACTCAAAGACTCGGCGGCGCGTGTCATTCAAACTCATTTCCGGTCTTACCTTGTTCACAGATCCATATCCTTTAGGCAACTCAAGGAGCTTGCAATGGTCAAATCTAGCTTCTTGTCTCTCAAGTCTTCTGTTTCAGGGAAACCCATTTTCCCATTCAAAGCTGTTTCTCGGAAAGCTACAGACTTGCTTCTTCAACTTGATTCGATTCAGGTATTTGTGAATCCTCTGTTCTGTTTATTAAGTTTTCTTTCAGATCTTTGATTTAGTATCGTTTTGTGTCTATTAGGGTAGGATTGATCCAATGATACGAAGTAGTAAGACATCATTGACTAGAGAGTTGGTAAGGTTTTTGCAGTATGTTGATGATTGTGCTGTTAAAAGGTGTGGTTTTGTTGCTAAGTCTGCAATAAGTGTGAGTAGCCGCAGCAAACTTGATGGCAAAAAGCCTTCTGGTGTAGCTGAAAACAGAACAATTGAGAAATCGAGGAAAGGAATGGGGAAAGTCTTTGTTACGTCTAGTGAGGATGAAGATAGCAATGCAGATATGACTGATGGTAGTGAAGAAGTCCCAGTGAGTTCTATTGATAAGAGAAAGATTGGTAGCTCTAAGTCTAGAACTGGGGTTGTGATAAAAGGCAATGTAGTGAAGCCTCAGGGTAGGAAATTTATTGTGTTGGACAAGAATAGGAATGTGTATCAGGTGTATGGAAATACGGATGATGTGATTTCGAGTGGCGAGGATGATTCAGTTGATGGTGATGAGGAAACGCTCGTGATGTCCAGGGATAATGGAAGGGGGCATGGTTTGAAAACGAGGAATGGGGTTTCAGTGAAAGGAAGTGGAGTGAAAACAACCCGGGTGGTGAAAGCTGTGAGCATTGATGGAAATGGGAATATATGTAAGGTTTATGGAAATACAGACGATGAAACTTCTAGTGCTGAGGATGATTCAGTTGATGATGGAGAGGAAACGTTGGTGATGTCCCGGGATGATGGAAAGAGGCATAGTTTGAAAACTGGGAACAGGGTTTTGGTGAAAGGGAGTGGAGGAAAATCATCAATCCCAGTGGTGAAAACTGTGAGCTTTGATGAGAATGGGAACGTGTACAAGGTTTATGGAGATACGCCAGAGTCAAGCATAACCGAGGAAGATGACTCGACGACAAGCGGATCAAACAATGGAAATGGTGAAGAGAAAGGGAACGTGAATGAAGTTGAGGAAATCAAATACGTTCCCAAAGAAAACGAGAGCTTTGAAGATGAAGAAGAAGAAACTGATTCTGAAAATGAAGTCTCTTCTTCAGAGGACAGCGAAGGAAACAGAAACGTGAACCACGAAGAAAGTAACAAACACGAGAAGGAAGTCCAGCTTCAAAAAGGGAACTTAATGTTCTCTCCTCCATTGCCACTAAAAATGGAGCCTTGATCAGTGGTGAATGTCCTCCAAAGCGATGACTTCGCGCTTATGCCTAGTTTAATTCCACAAACCTGCATTTTGGTATGTTCTAGAAACCTCAATAAGATGACCTTTCTAGTTGTAGAAATTGTAACATAACTGCATTGTGAGTCTTTTGCCTCATTCTGTACTCTCTACCGCCATTTTCGAGTCCATGTCTTTTGATAAATGCTATTCTTTTGAGTGACCATGGTCTCCACAGTTGCTTGTAGAGATCAGCTTGATTAGGTTGATCAGTTGGAGTGTGTAATCTTGTTTTTTTCCCTTTTTCTTTCTTGTCTTTGTACCTCTCCTTGACACTCATTTAGAAGTTTTTGTTTGTTGCATTATGCTCGAGTGGTGTGTATCAAAATTCAAATCCATCAATCATTCGGTACAATGGACTGGGCATTCAGTTAGCAATTTAATAATATAACCATTTGGTTATTTAGCAATTTCATTTCGGTTTTCTCTCTGTTTGACTTGGTTTTGATATTTGAATATATAAACCGTAAATAAACGAAACTCTATCGAGTTTGGTTCGGTTTTGTTTTGATCCAAAATAACCGAATTTAATCGAAAATTACAAATTGTATATCTTTTGACATTCGTGTATTTAACGAATCTTAAGTGTATATATACCTACATTAGTTTTTTAGACAAAAAAAAATATCTTTCCACATTAAAAGTTTTTACTTATCTTTTTAAAGAAAGCTTTGGATAATTATAATAAAATTATAATTTTTTTTCCCACAACAAGTCAATTAATTTATATCATAAAAGTTTACATGATACATGAAACCATTCATGTAACCACTGAATAAATAAGGAAATTGAACACAAATTTCAACAAAGAAGTGGAAGTAACCCTGCTTTATAAACGAAAGTCTTACAGGCAACAAAATAAATCTGTTAAGTCACATCTTCGTACACTTGTAAAAGGCTAACATCTTATAGATGAAACTCCTAAATGTTTTTTCGCATTAGTCTAGTTCCATAAAATTTTGAATTTGTTGTTTGAGATGGTTCTGAAACATGACTTTTGAAATGTTGTGGGCATCTAAAGCGATCTTCATCTTTGGCTATCTCTCATATGATAAAACTCCAAGATCCTCGCTGCATATTCTTTATTAATGCCAATTGTGTCTTCTGCATCTCCTTAACCAAACCCTGCTGTGATTTTAGAAGCATATTCCAAAGAAAGACCCAATATATTGATTCCTTCTTCAACAATAAAACTTCAAGTCGTCTCTCGTTGGTACTAGGAGTAATGCCCGATACACAAGTTCTCTCTGTTTCCACTTCATCTATAAGTATACCCTTTCTCCATGGTCGTTTCCACTAGAGATAGAGCATATGAATAAATTGATCTATGTTATGTACTCCTCTTTTGTTGATCTCTGTTTGGAAAGGCATTGAGGAGAGACCAAAATCAAGAGTTTCAACCAAAAGGAAGAACAACGAGAATTTGAAATTGGAACTTTGAAATCATATGTTCTGGTTTTATTCAAAGATAAGAAACCTAATTACACAGAAACATAAGAAAAGAAAAAACAAGAGTACGGCCGACACCGGAACCGACGCCGGCCGGAGAAGAGCCAAGGAAAGAGACGGTTACTTTTGGTTTCGTCTTTTGAGTCGCCTTTGGCGAGAGAAGAGAAGAAGAATACTTGGCCTAGGGAACCAATAATAAAATTTTAATTTTAATTTTATTTTGAATAACCCATCCATCAGACGGATACTAAACTAGTATATATAAACCGGAAAAAATTATAACAACAAAAACACAATTTGGTTCAATTTTACAACAAAGTATATAAGTTTGAAAAATATATCTACTAACATTGGATATGCTTATTATTTCAAGTATTTAACTGTTTCAAGTATTTTGTTTAAAATAATTAGTATTTTTGAATTTATAACTATAGTATTGGGTGTTATGGATATTATTTTTGAGTTTCTTTAAGATTTTTGAATATTTTGTTAACTTTTTAATTATCGGTTTGGTTAGGTTTCAATTAAGAAGATTTTACTAACCATTCGGTTATTTAAGTAACTTCGGTTCAGATTCAATTTTGTTTTTTCAGTTCGGTTCGATTGGTTATTCTATTGGCGGTAGCCTTGTTAATGGAGCGGATATCCGCTTTTTTGGAAAATCCGCATTTGCATCCGCATACGTATTATCCGTGATTTTAGAATCCGTATCCGTATCTCAAAATTCGGATAAAAACCAAATATCGACGGATATCCGAAAATATGTAAAAAAAATCAAAATACCATGTATTTTAGACCAAAATACCGGATATCCATATCTAAATACCGGATATCCGCATATAAATACTGGATATCCATATCTAAATACCGGATATCTGGATTTTTCAAAAAAAAAAACGGATATCCATTATCCGTTTTTAAAAACTGCATTATCCGTATTTATATCCGTCCATAATTTACTATCCGTTTCCGTATCCATTTTTTGGATAAAAAATCAGATACGGATACATAAATTTACGGATGCGGTTTTTTCTTAGGGCTAATTGGCAATTTTATTTTTCCTTTTGTAAAGGTAGTCAAGTAGAATTGTAATCTTTCAACGTGCACAAAACTATTCGACTATTTTATTATTAAATTTGACGATGAAGAGATCTGACACGTGTACGGTGCTCATTACTTCTCTAGTCACTATCTCCCACAAATATCTCCTTCCTCTACTACTAAACCCACTGAGAAATGTGATCTGTCACGGATAGTACAGTCTCAATATCCAATAAAAACACGACACGTGGATATATCAACGTCACGTGGCATAGTCACTCACAGATCACTTATAACTGATCACTCACTGATAAGATTTTGCCTCGTGAAACTGAAAAAATCAAAGTAAAAGCTTCAGAGCTCTCTCAAGTGTTCTCTACTCCACCACCACCTGAGATTGATGATGGATACGATGCGAATCTCCGGTGTATCGACCGGAGCTGAGATTTTAGTACAATGCAATTCGTTATCAAGCCTCGTTTCTCGTCGTTGCGACAATGGGAGATGGAAGACGAGGAATTTTCCGGCGAGAAGCAGAACTTGGCGATCGTCGGTAAAGAGAAAGCTTCCGTTGGTTAAATCAATCTCTAGCGAACCTAAGGAGAAGGTTTCTGATGCAGTTCTCGATTCCGAACAAGGTTTTTGAATTTGATTCTTAGTTTTTTTGAATTTTAGGGTAATGTAATTTGGGGTTTGTGAAGTTACTGATTGATTCGTGTTGATTGGGATTTTTTCAGAAGTGTTTAGCTCGATGAGTCCGTTTGCTCCAGATGCTGCTTCGGTAGCTTCGAGTATTAAGTACCACGCGGAGTTCACGCCTTTGTTTTCTCCGGAGAAGTTTGAGTTACCTAAGGCGTTTTTTGCGACTGCGCAGAGTGTTAGGGATGCTTTGATTATGAATTGGAATGCTACTTATGAGTATTACAATAGAGTGAATGTGAAACAGGCGTATTATTTGTCAATGGAGTTTTTGCAGGTTTGTGGTTTTGACTTGTTCTTGTGTGTTTGAGACTCTTAGTGATGATCTTGTGTTTGGTTGTTATCTGATTATTTGTTCACATTGTAGGGTAGAGCTTTGTCGAATGCAGTGGGTAACCTCGGGCTTAATAGCGCTTATGGTGTTGCCTTGAAGAGGCTTGGTTTTGATTTGGAGAGTGTAGCTAGTCAGGTGAGTTACTGAGTTGTTGATTATTTTAGATTCATATTACTTAAAAAGTCTACGAGCTGGTCGTCTTTGTGGGTTTGTTTTTTGGTTTCACAGAGTCTTTATCTTCTTTATTTGTGGTGAGATATTAAAATTTTCACTTCCAAATGGTAGGAGCCAGATCCTGCACTTGGGAATGGTGGACTTGGGAGACTTGCGTCGTGCTTTTTGGATTCCATGGCAACTTTGAATTATCCGGCTTGGGGTTATGGGCTTAGATACAAGTATGGCTTGTTCAAACAGAGAATCACAAAAGATGGACAGGAGGAAGCTGCAGAAGATTGGCTTGAGGTTTTCTGCTCTTAACTCTTTTTTGTATTTATACTCCCTCGAAATAATGCTGAGAAATTGACATGTTTATTGACTTGCTTGTTTCTTTCAGCTGAGCAATCCTTGGGAGATAGTCAGAAACGATGTCTCATATCCTATTAAGTTCTATGGAAAAGTGGTTTTTGGATCAGATGGTAAGAAACTGTGGATTGGTGGAGAAGACATAGTCTCTGTTGCTTATGATGTTCCTATACCTGGTTATAAAACTAAGACTACAATCAATCTACGACTTTGGTCAACGAAAGCTCCTTCAGAAGATTTCGATTTATCTTCATACAACTCTGGGAAACATACTGAAGCAGCAGAAGCTCTATTTAATGCTGAAAAGGTCTGTATATTTCTACTTCTCTCTTACACTGCACTAACATGAATGCATAGAACTAAAAAAAAACTATGTTGGTAGATGCATTAAGTTTCATTTAGAGTTGCTTTAACATTTGTTTTTTCATATCAAACACCTTTCACTTCTAATTAATTCGACCATGATCTATTTAAAAAGGCCTGTCTGGTATTAATAGATTAGTCCATATATCTTACAAACTAAGTGAGAATTAGCAACAATATGTTATTACATGGAGTTGTTGTCTTGCATCACTTGTAATTGTGTATATAACAATGAGCTTTCGATATGTACTTGCTGAAATATATAATTGTCTTTTTCCTGTCTTTTCTAATGGAATTAGATATGTTACGTGCTTTACCCCGGAGATGAGTCACTTGAAGGAAAAACTCTTCGTTTGAAGCAACAGTACACTCTGTGCTCAGCCTCGCTCCAAGATATCGTAACACGTTTTGAGACAAGGTCTGGAGGTAATGTCAATTGGGAAGAATTCCCAGAGAAGGTTGCAGTGCAGATGAATGACACTCACCCTACCCTATGCATTCCTGAGCTAATGAGGATTCTAATGGATTTGAAAGGACTAAGCTGGGAAGACGCTTGGAAAATCACACAACGGTACTTCTTTAAATGTCTTTTAGTCTATTGTGCTTATTTGTTTTTTCTTGTCCCAGAATAAAAGATATTTACAGGATTAAAACCTGCTACGTGCTTCTGGAAAGTTAATAATGTTTCTACTTTCTAGAACTGTGGCATACACAAACCATACAGTCTTGCCTGAGGCACTGGAGAAGTGGAGCTTAGAACTTATGGAGAAATTACTTCCACGTCATGTGGAGATTATAGAAAAGATTGATGAGGAGGTCAGCCCTGAACAACATCAAATGTCTCTTCTATTTTTTCTCTTGTGTTTGATCTAATTTTCGGTTTCGTGTATTACAGCTAGTTCGCACAATTGTCTCTGAATATGGCACTGCGGATCCTAACTTACTTGAAGAGAAACTGAAAGCAATGAGGATCTTAGAAAACGTCGAGTTGCCTTCTGCCTTTGCGGATGTGATTGTGAAGCCGGAGAAAAAACCAGTTGCTGCAAAAGACACCATAGACCAGCTCGAAGATGCCAAAACTGTCGTGAAAAAGGAACAAGAAGAGGAAAATGTTGGAGAGGAAGAGGAAGTTATCCCAGAACCAACAATAAAACCACCAGAGATGGTTCGTATGGCCAACCTCGCTGTTGTGGGTGGTCATGCTGTAAATGGAGTTGCAGAGATACACAGTGAAATAGTTAAGCAGGATGTTTTTAATGATTTCGTTCAGGTAAACATTCTAACTAGTGAACCGTTGTAATGCTATAAATTGCACTACCTGGTAGAACATTGCTCTCATTCTTGAATATTCTATATTTTTGGCAGTTGTGGCCAGAAAAATTTCAGAATAAAACCAATGGAGTAACACCAAGGCGATGGATTCGATTTTGCAACCCTTATCTAAGTGATATCATAACTAAATGGATAGGCACAGAAGACTGGGTCTTACATACCGAAAAGCTTGCGGAGCTGAGAAAGGTATGTGCTTTATCAGATTCAATGTTGTTTCACATGCTGTTATCTCTGTAGTAAGACACTGGGTATCGTTGTTTGGTATTTCTCCAGTTTGCAGATAATGAAGATCTCCAATCTGAGTGGAGGGCAGCAAAGAAGAAAAACAAGCTGAAGGTTGTATCACTTATCAAGGAAAGAACCGGATATACAGTCAGCCCGGATGCAATGTTCGACATTCAGGTTAGTTCCAAAGGATCCTTTTTTAGTTATAGATTGATGAGTTGTTTGTTTGGATGCTGCTTTGAGGTTTGAAAAGTCCATCCAACATCCAAGTGAATGTGTAATATCTAATTCTTTGTATTTTGCATTAAAAACTGTTTGTAGATCAAACGTATCCATGAGTACAAGCGACAACTACTAAATATCTTGGGAATTGTTTACCGCTACAAAAAGATGAAGGAAATGAGTGCCAGTGAGAGGGAGAAGGCATATGTTCCCAGAGTTTGCATATTTGGTGGAAAAGCATTTGCCACATATGTGCAAGCTAAAAGGATTGTGAAATTCATCACAGATGTTGCATCTACAATTAACCATGATCCAGAAATAGGTGACTTGCTTAAGGTACGTGACCTTTCTTACATACTAGTGTTAATCATATTCTCAAGCGTCAAGCAGACAACCAGTATAATCCTCCATGAAGTCTCGTTTAAGTGTCTTGTGGAAGATGGTACCTATATGATAACTTTTAATCAGAAGTGTTAACTACCTTGTAGGTTATCTTTGTTCCTGATTACAATGTCAGTGTTGCCGAATTGCTTATTCCAGCAAGTGAGCTTTCTCAGCACATCAGGTAATAACAGCGTTGGCTTAGTCACCTTTTATAGTTTTTGGTCACAACTCCATGATGCTGAAACACTGAATTTGAAATAACTGGTGAACCAGGAGGCTGAGCTAGTTTCTCTGTTTGTCATGAGAACCGTAGGAACAATGTGTTTCAGTGAAATTTAGAAAAAGTTATAATCAATGGTACTGTGCTATTTTCTGAAGACTTCAAAATTATTTCTGCAGTACCGCTGGGATGGAAGCTAGTGGGACAAGCAACATGAAATTTTCGATGAACGGTTGCGTTTTAATTGGAACCTTGGACGGGGCGAATGTCGAGATTAGAGAAGAAGTTGGAGAAGAAAACTTCTTCCTCTTTGGTGCTAAAGCAGATGAGATCGTGAACCTCAGGAACGAGAGAGCAGAGGGAAAGGTATACTACTATTTAAAGAGTTAACCTTCTCATGCTTCTGCTTAGCATCAAACACAACTTAATTCTGACCTACTTGCTCTTCGCATTCCAGTTTGTTCCGGATCCAACTTTTGAAGAAGTCAAGAAGTTCGTTAGAAGCGGTGTCTTTGGCTCAAACAACTACGACGAACTAATTGGCTCTTTGGAAGGAAATGAAGGCTTTGGACGAGCTGATTACTTCCTCGTTGGCAAAGACTTTCCTAGTTACATCGAATGTCAAGAAAAAGTCGATGAAGCATACCGCGACCAGAAAGTAAGTTTCATCAAGCTTTTATGTTTGACTCAATACAAAACTTCCTCAACCTTTAAATTTGCTATTAATGATTTACAGAGATGGACGAGAATGTCAATATTGAACACAGCAGGTTCATTCAAGTTTAGTAGTGACCGGACAATCCACGAATACGCGAAAGACATATGGAATATCAAACAAGTTGAACTTCCATGAGGCTTTGAGACCAGTCTACGTTAAGAAACTCTTTTGTACTTCCCAAGTTTATATAAGTGTATCAAAGTAATAAGGAAATAATCATGTAATAATGCAATACAATTCAATGTAAGAAATAAGATTCAAGAGTCTATGTAGTATTTACAGTGGCCTTTGTGCTTCTGACCGGCTAAACACAATCTAATTGACTCACTTGAATTAAATTTTTGATTAAAGCAAGATTAAAGTCTTGATATTTTCTTCCTTTGTCTCATTTCAAGACCGAGAGGGATCAAAGGAGAGAGAATTTTCGTACAATTCTACTGAAAGTGGACAAGTCGGACCGGTTTGATCGAAAAATCTGTCCTTTCGGTTTAATTGAACCAGTAGATAATCAATTTCATTTAGGTTGATTGAATTTGTATCTAAGAGATGAAAGTGGAACACATACAATCTATAAGAAGAAGTGGTATTTGAATCAACGAATTGAGACTCAGCTCGAGAATAGTTTCAGACTAACAAAGCTCGGTCATTTCTTTTGTTTCACCTGTAACTATAGAGAATGAAATGTCACAACTATACACATCTGCAAATCACATCATCCTAAAGTTTCAATTTTCAATTACTTCTACTAACATACACATATCTATCCTTTCTCTGTATTAGATGAACACATATCTATCCTTTCTCTGAAGTAATTTGGTATTAATGCGAAACCCCAAAAGCTTTGGTTAAGACTTGGAAACATCAAAGCACTGACATTTATATCCCCCTAAGAGTTGAAGTTTGACGGTTGTGAAACAAACTTGCTAGCTTCTGACTCAGTCATGCCACTGAACTATCATATTCAGTGTACACCTTGTCACTAGCTAACAGCCCTTTCAGTGGTCTGTGAAGTGTTTGGTGACCACCTAGAGCTTGAGAACACACAAAACTCTTGTCACAGATTTCGAATTTATAGCTGGAGTGAGACTTACTTCTCAGAGGAGAATGTAATGAACTAAACCTGGTTTTACTGCAACTATTAGACTTGTCAAAACCAGAGAGAGCAAGCGGTTCACAGAAGTCATCTATCGACTGAGCACAATGTAAGATCTTCTCTTGAGAGACACCAAAGCTTGATGGCTGTGAAACAATCTTCTTACCTTCTGGAGGAGAAGGTACTGCACTGAACCTAATTTTACTGCAAGTACTAGACTTTTCATAACCCGATCGACCAAGCAGTTCGTGGAACTCTGGCTTCAGCTCAACACATTGTAAGATCTTCTCTTCCTGAAAGACTCCAAAGCTTGATGGTTGTGTAACAATCTTCTTAGCTTCAGTATATGCCCTTTTATGTGCTAGAATCGATCTGTGTAGTCTTTGGTGGCCACCTAGAGCTTGATAACACCCAAAACTCTTGTCACATTTATCACATTTATAGCCAAAGCAAGTCTTTTTCTGCAATTTACTTCTCTTAGGACAAGGTTGAAGCTCCAAATCCATAAAATCATAACTTCTGATAGAGGCAAAGTCATAAACTCGTCGAGACAACATAACCAAGTTTATTGCAGCTTCAATCACCTCATGTTTCTCAATCGGAGTCATAAAAGAAGATCCTTTAGCAGAAGAAGCTGAAACAGAGCAAACCCTAGACTTCTTCAAACCCCAAATCCTTTGCAAACCATCTTCGACTTCGATTCTATTGCTTTTACTAGAATGAATCCTCTGGTGACCATACACACCTTTTAAAGTTGCGAATTTTTTCCTACATACTCCGCAAACATGAAGTTTCTGAGACATTTTGTGAGAGTTTTAGCCGACAAGATGAAAACTTTCTCTGCTTGTAAACCTGTTCATCATCAATACGTTAACATAATCGGGGAAATTGAGTAGAAGAGAATCATATTGAAACATAAAGGTCTTAGCTTTTACTGTAATTTTCTCGAGAAAACAAGGAAGAAGATGGGAAAAGAAAAGGAGAAAGGCGAAGATCGTGAAGACAACAACACATAACACTTCTGAAAACAGAAGCTTGATCCTGTTTCGTAAGAAAACGAGAGAAATTGAAGAACGAAGAGTAAAAAGTCGAAAGCTTTTTACTTTATTTTCTCGGGAAAATTGGGAAGGAAACATAAGAAAATCTCAAAGCAGAGAGCTTGATTAGCTTACCAGAGCAAAAATCTTCGCTTGATTTTAAGGACTCAGGACGAGAAAGAACACTTTTTGACCTAATCCGTGGAGCTTAGAACCTTAAAGAACACGGTTTTTGACTTGTCGCAGAGCTTTTTAATCAGAGCTACTTAAAGACGCCAATGGGAAAATTACTTGTTGTGGAAGCTAATGAGTCTAGGCAAGAGGAAAAAGCCAGGGGATAGTTATCTCCTACACTCACGCGTACGATAAACTTGGTGTTCTCAAACCAAACCAACGAATTGTAAATTGTAATAACCGAGTAAGTAATTTGATTTTGGATTTGATATCAGAAACATGAGTTAACCAAAGAAGCTGTTTCAGGTTGCAAAGTTTGTTTTTTTTTCCTTCTATTTATGTGTAAAGGGGAATGATTTAACTATACATTTCCTCCTTGTAAACTTTAATGTTCAGAACAAACCATTCAATATTTTGTTCAATTACTAGAGTTATATCGTACGCCGAGTGAGATTACAGTCCACTGAAGTCTTGTTTCGACTCAACGCAGTGTAAGATTTTGTCCTGAGAGACTTCAAAGCTTAGTGGTGGTGTAAGAATCTTCTTAGCTTCTGAGTCAGTCACGCCAAACAGTGAATAGCCATCTTCTGACTCCCCTTTAGTCGAATTGCTTGACTGCGGTTTACTTCTCTGGGAAGAAGATAATGGAATGATACTGCAACTAATAGACTTGTCGAAACCCGGATGAGAAAACAATTCACTAAAGTCTTGTTTGGACTCAACACAATGTAAGATCTTCTCCTGAGAGACTTCAAAGCTTAATGGTTGTGTAACAATCTTCTTAGCTTCTAATGAGTCAGACAGTGAATTATAATCTTTAGCATTCTTCCTTTTACGCGATAGTTGCTCTGAATTCGGTCTATGAACTCTTTGGTGGTTACTTAGAGATTGAGGACGCACAAAGCTTTTGCCACATATTTTGCAATCATAGCTCTGAGTTTTTTTCTGTAATTCACATCTCAGAGTAGAAGGTAATGCACTGAAACTGGTTGTTTTACTGCAACTACTACTAGACTCGTCTAACCCCGAGTAAGAGAACAGTTCACTAAAGTCTTGTTTCAACTCAACACAATGTAAGACCTTCTCTTGAGAGACTTCAAAGCTTGATGGTTTTGAAACAATCTTCTTAGCTTCTGATGAGTGAGACAGTGAATTATCACTTTCATTGTACTCCTTTTTACGCGCTGATTGCTTTCTAATCATTCTGTGAAGTCCTTTGTGTCCACCTAGAGCTTGAAAACACCCAAAACTCTTGCCACATACATTACATTTGTAGCTGGAGCTACTCTCAGGTCTTTTCTGCAACTCACAATTCAAAGGATGCAGTTCCCTGAAGTCTTGTTTCGACTCAACACAATCTAAGATCTTCTCCTCCTGAGAGGCTTCAAATTCTGATGGTTCTGAAACAATCTTCTTATCTTCTGATGAGCCAAACAATGAACTACCATCTTTAGTGTTCTCCTCTTTACTCTCTAGTTTCCCTTTAATCGATCTGTGAAGTCTTTTATGACCACCTAAAGCTTGAAAACACCCAAAACTCTTGCCACATACACTACATTTATAACCGGGGCTACTCTCAGGTCTTTCTGATGGGTTTGAAACAGTCTTCTTACCCAATGAACTCTCCTCTTTACTTTCTAATTTCCCTTTAATCGATCTGTGAAGTCTTTTATGACCACCCAAAGCTTGATAACACCCAAAACTCTTACCACATATATTACATTCACGACTTGAGTTACTCTGCAATTCACTTCTCAGAGCCACAACAACATCACTACAAGTCACAGACTTTTCAAAACCCAAGTGAGTAAACATCTCCTTGAAGCCAAGTATCGACTCAACACAATCAAAGACCTTCTCTTTAATAGGTTTAAACTGATCTAAACACATTGACTCATCACCACAAACTCGTTCAGATAACATAACCAAGCTCATTGCAGCTTCATCCATCTCATGTTCCATAATCACAGAAGAAGTTTCGTTTAGTAACATTGAAACCCAGATCCTTAGCTAACCGTGTTCATCAACGAATACGCTTAAACCCACAAGAATCAAAACCCATTTACGGAAAAGTTCGAAATTGCAAAAAGGCGTAAGCTTTTATGGAGATGGAGGAAGATGAAAAGATCGCAAATTTGCCAAAAGGTTTCAGCTTTGATTAGCTTACCTGAGAAAAAACCCTAACTTGATTTTAGTAATCACGAAGACGACCTGAATCGCCGAGCGAGAGCTTAGGTTATTTGAGTCATAGGGACTGATGAAAAAATAATAACTTGGTGCGGAAGCTAAGAAGACTATTTGGGAAGGGATAGTTATCTCCTACACTCGCGTCTACAATTAACTTCGTGCTCCCTATTTGTTTTGTTTTGGTATCCCTTTGGATCAGTAGTAATTTACATTGGTCAGAACCGGTTTGTGAAATTGTGATCATTACTGATTTTCCGGTCCAAAAACCAAAATGGCCATGCCTACTTAAGCCTGTGCATATAATCCAAATCTGAATCGGTTTTGGTTACTTAGTAAAACTCGATTGAATTTAATATAGAATGTGATTCGGATTTTGGATTAGATTGAATTCAACCAAAATTCAATTAGATATCCGCTAAACCAAAACAATATAGCTATATATACTTAATTCAGAACGGGTTAGTTAGATAATTCAGGTAATTTGGGTTGGTTAATTATGATGCTTTAGGTTTGATCGGGTAAATTTTGAATAGTTTTAGTAATTTTGGATAATTCAAATCCGAATCCAGACCGCAAACAGAAGTTATCTATGTTCAGGTTACACATCGGATTTCCAATAAAATGTGTCACCGATCCAAATCGAAAACAATCTGAATCGGTCTGGTTCAATTTTTGATACATCCCAATCCGGAAATCCGAATATCTATGCCTATGCCTACCAATTCTACCTTTCAATTGAGAGACTCGAACAAAGAATCTAAAACACACACACAATATTTGGAGAGTCTAATAGAACTGACACTAGCCAAGATTAACTTGGTAATCAATCTTACTCAAACCAAACCAGAAGCAAACCAATATCATCATCACATTAAATTGGTCCAAAGGTGTTAAGTATTCTCGGATGAGATCAAAAGAACAATACACACTCTACTGATTTATCAACAAGAAATCACTTGGTCTCTTCTTTGCACACATTCTATTGAGTTTTCTGAGCCAAACACCAAAGTCCAAAATAATGTGAAAAAGAAACTGAAGAATCCAAATTTGAAGTCATCATCTTCTGGACTAGTCTCTTCTCATTAGTTAATATCCACTTGAGGAACTCTACCACCAGCTTGAATGATTTGTTTCTCAAGCTGCAATAACAACAATGAGTTCATCAGTCATCATCAAAACGATTCATTAAAGCAGCCAAAAACAGAACATGGATTCTATTCCTCACACTCACATTGAACAAATCTTGAAGCTTTGTCTTTAACGTCTTGTACTCGATATCCACTTGCTGCAAACATCTCACACACCTGTAAACAAGATATCATTACTCCACAAATCTCAATCAATGACTCATCACGCGGTGTTGAAAAAGTAAGCTCACCCTTCAAAGTTCTGCGTATCACAATAGTCCTTGAAGCTAACACACAAAGCTTTAACCCTCTTGGCACCAACACTGCATTAGAAACAAGACACAGCTTCATCCATCAATCAAGCACACAAAACTTATACTACTAAAGATGTTATTAGGACAAAAAAAAAGCTAGTCATACTCATACCTTGAGCTACTACCCTTCAATTGATGCACACTCGCACCTACCTTACTATAATCTACATTTCCCGTAGTCTGGTCCCTGAAAGATATACACAACCATAAGATGAATCCAGCAGACTTTAAGAGTGAACTAAGAGAGAGAGACAAAATCAAAACTTACAAAGCTCTAGCCATGTTACTGATAAGTTTCACACAATCTTCAAAGAAAAGAGTGAGCACCTCAGCCACAAAATCAGGACTTCCATCATCTTGAAGCTTTTTCAACTCAGTAAACTGATCATCCAAAAACCCCTTCACAACAAAACAAACAATGATCTAAAACCAAACCCACACGAATCTTAAAGTTCCAACCTTTACACAACTCAAATCCCTAAGAAGATCATAACTTGTAAAAAACCACACAAACTACAGAACAACCTATAAAGATTCAATCTTTACACAACTCAAATCCCTAAAAAGATCATAACTTGTAAAGAACCACACAAACTACAGAACAACCTATAAAGATTCAATCTTTTTACACAACTCAAATCTCTAAAAAGATCATAACTTGTAAAGTACCATACAAACTACAGAACAACCTATAAAGATTCAATCTTTACACAACTCAAATCCCTAAAAAGATCATAACTTGTAAAGAAACACAAAATTTACAGAAACAACCTATAAAGATTCAATCTTTCTTCAGTTTAATCACGAATCTATGCATATATGAGCAAATCTAGTATCTATGATCTATATCATAGCTACATAACCAAAGACATGTGTTCGAATGAATTGGGTTCGAAGATTTGTAAAATTGAAACCTGTTGGTACAGAGAAATGGTGTAATCACGGAATTGTCTCTGCAACTGAGTAATGAGAGCGTCCATGAGAAGAGTGAAGCTGAGATGATTTGTTTGTGTTGGACTGGATTTTTTGACTTTGGATTTCTGGAAATAGCCAATCCCAAGAAGAAACTTGTGTCTTGTCTTTCTCACGAGTTATATAATGCAGTATCAAGAATTTTATTTTTTACTTTAAATGGAAAAATTAATTAAAAGAGAAAAGAAAACACACTAATATTTGGACATTTTTATTAATTTGGAATCTGTTTATAAGTTACTTATAACCATTAAATAAATGTTTTTGGAAAATTTTGGATTCAATACTTGTTCTTATGTGAATTATTGATTTTGTTTTCAAGAAAATTATTGTTTTTGTAAAAATACTTTAAGAACTCATTTAATGTATAATGTTAAAAATACTTGTCATTGTTACTAACTATTAAAAAAGTTGCATGAAATACTTTTTTAATTACTTTAAATGGGAAAATCTATATATATTTAGAGTGTTCTCTCTCCACTTGTCATCTATATTTTTTAAGAATTATATTTTTAATTAAGAGAAATACCCTCAAATAGCACGAAAATATGTTTTATGGACAATAATAGCACACACTCCATAAATTTCCAAAAATAGTACTAATTAACACAATTATAGTATTATAAATAATTCTTTAGAATTTTTTTAAGTTTTGAGTTGACTATTTTACATTTAGGATATAGTTTTTAGGGAGTAGACTTTATTATTTAGAGTTTGAGATTTAATTTTGAAGTTTTCATTTTGAAATATGGTGCTAATTTTGAAAAATGTAAAAAGTGTGTGCTAAATTTTGGAAAAAATAAAATTAGTGCTATTTTTGAGAATTACCCTATATTTAACTCACACTTTAATATAAAACTGAAAATATATCTTCAATTAAACCACAAACAAATCACATTTAACCATATACGTTTAACTCACATATAAAAACTAAAATAAAATAAAGTTTCATTAACTATATTTTATTATTTCTCCACTCAATTTTATTCAACACCCAATAAATTATAATAAGATATTTCTAAAACTGTAACTCCCATAATTTTTTACTTCTAAAATTGTAACTCTCGTCACTTCTGGTTATTATATTATTACATCTGAACTAACCGAAACCGAACGGCAACCGAATGGTTAACCGATGCCCCGGGTTACATGATTTTATATGAAAAAAAAAACTCATAATGATCAAAGTCTCTCAAGGTTTGAATCTTGATCCATCTAATATATTAAGCATGCAATATTAGAGAGTGAAGCCTTTGACCTTTGGTTGTGTTCAAGGGAAAGTGTATAAGGTTCTTTTTGGAGTGAAGCGACACTAAAGAGATCTCTTACTACTACATTTGTAATTTGAAGCCTTGATTTGGACCATGTAACTGAAAAGAAATGGTTGTCAAAAAAGACTATGTTGAGGTTAAGGTCTAAAACATGAAAGCATCTAAATCTTTACGTTAAAGCTTTAAACATGGAAACGTTAGGTGTCACTGAAGAATCTCTCCAACCTTGAAAACTTGTTTGGTGTTCCTAAACCAACAGTGATGAGACATGAGAGAGAGAGATCATGTGATTCTTATTTCTTACAGACAAAACACAACAAGTGTCACTTTGCTCCAATAAGAACCAATCTTTATTTAAGTTTTCTAAGGAAACAACAAAACTGAAACGACATCGTCGAATAAACAAGTCCTCTTCGACCAAAAAAATAATATGAAAGTGATACCAAAAAAGCCACAAACCAGAGATTACATAACAAACAGATAGTAATAAATGTTGTAACAAGTCTTTAAAGCACAAAATGATAGGTAAAAAGAATCAGCAATGGACCTGTCCCTTTTCTTCTTGCTTAAGCAACTGCAGGCATGTCCTTGAGCCATGCATCTAGAGGCTTACCAATGGAGTAAACAATGAAACCAATCTCTCTTAGCTTTTGTAGATTCATAATGTTTCTTCCATCGAACACGAAAGCCGGTTTCTGCATATTGTCAAAGATCTTTTGGAAATCCAAGTTCTTGAACTCATCCCACTCTGTCATGATGCAGATACCGTGCGCGTCTTTGGTTGCCTCGTACGCGTCCCAAGTAACGCTAACTTGTTTCACTGTTGTTGGGCTCATTGGCTGCAAATGAAGAGGATGGTCCCAATCGAACTTGTTCATGGATAAATCCCTCTGGATCTGTTCTTCAGTCACTTGCGGGTCGTAGATGCTTAGCCTTGCTTTGTCTTCTAAAAGACCCTTGCAAACATCGATGGCTGGAGTCTCCCTCGTGTCACCGGTATCTTTCTTGAATGCGAAACCGAGAACCGCAATCTTTTTGTTCGATACAGAGTTGAACATGGAGGAAACAACACGGTTTACGAACCGACTCTTCTGGTAGTCATTGATCTTGATGACTTGCTTCCAGTACTCTGCCACTTCTGGTAGTCCATTGCACTCACAGATGTAGACAAGATTCAGAATATCCTTCTGGAAACACGAACCCCCGAATCCAACGCTCGAGTTCAAGAACTTGGGACCGATTCTTGAATCTGTACCAACCGCGTAAGACACCTGTGTGACATCTGCACCGGTAGCTTCACATAGAGCTGACATAGCATTAACAGACGAAATCCGTTGAGCCAAGAAAGCATTAGCCGCAAGCTTGGAAAGCTCAGCAGACCAAAGATTGGTTGTTATGATTTGGCCTTCAGGAACCCAATGAGCATACACATCTTTAAGCGTCTGAACCGCTTTAAACCCTTCCGGGGTTTCCCGTCCTCCGATGAGAACACGGTCAGGGTTAAAAAGATCCTTAATCGCAGTCCCTTCCGCCAAAAACTCCGGGTTAGAAAGTATCTGAAACTTAATCCCTTTACTGTTATGTGTCAAAATCTTCTCAATCGCCTCAGCTGTTTTAACCGGGACAGTCGATTTCTCAACAACAATCTTATCAGAAACCGAAACATCAGCGATCATACGCGCAGCGCTCTCCCAGTAAGTAAGATCAGCAGCTTTACCAGCACCAAGACCTCTAGTTTTAGTCGGTGTGTTAACAGAAACAAACACAATATCAGCTTCCCTCACATGTTTCTCAACATCAGTGCTAAAGAAAAGGTTCTTGCCACGGCATTGCTTCACAACATCGTCAAGACCAGGCTCGTAAATCGGAAGCTGGTCACTGTTCCAAGCATTGATACGTGGTACAGAGATATCAACAACAGCTACTTCAATATCTGGACATTTCAAAGCAATCACTGCCATTGTTGGTCCACCAACATACCCAGCTCCAATACAACAAATCTTCACCATCTTCTCCTTTTCTCTGCTTATAAAATCAAGAACTTTATCATCAAGCCCAAAACAGAGGATCAGCAAAAAAGGTGGATCCTTTTTCAAAAAGATCCAATCTTTTAAAGCAAAATTCTAATTCCCAAGTTCCAATTTTGTAACCAACATCATTAAAAGTTGGATCTTTTACAAAAACAAAACAGAGTCAGGTTTTAAAACAGAGTCAGATTTCAAAACAGAGGATCAGCAAAAAAGGTAGATCCTTTTTAAAAAAGATCCAATCTTTTAAAGCAAATTCTAATTCCCAATTATTAAAGAAAAGTTTTGTTGTAATTTTGAGACTAACATCATTAAAAGTTTGATCTTTTACAAAACCAAAACAGAGTCAGATTTGAAAACAGAGTCAGATCTTAAAACAGAGGCAGATCTTAAAAATCAAAACATAAACAACTAAGAACACATAACATGAAAGCAAAACATCATTAACGTTCTAATGAAAAACAGATCTATATGGTTTTGAATCAGAATTATAAACTTAGAAAAGCCGATCTGAGATTCAAAAACAGAGATCAGGAGACAACGAACGGTGAAAAATATCAAAAACAGAAACGAGATTTTGTGTTATTATCATTTACCTCTCTAGGGATTCTTCTACAAAGCTGATGAAACTTTTTGTTTATCTCCTTCAGACACGAATCAGCGAGTGAAAATGGTGTGAGGAGAACGTAGAATAGTCTGAAACAAAACGGAAGCAAAGGGTGCGTTTTATAAGGGAAGTATATTTCCGGTTTTGCCCTTGACCGACCAGAGAGAGAGAGAGTTGTAAGAAAAAACGAACCTGTAGGTTCGGTGGTGGTGGAGCACCGTGTTTGATTGCGTTTTACACATCTGGGCTAAACTAGAGCTGTCAATTAGGGCTAGACCGCGGATTTTCAGCCCTAACCGCGGCGGATTTTTTTTTAATGCGGGTTTTGGCGGGCCAGCCCGCTTTGATCCGCGGTCATAAAATTCATAATCCTAATCCAACCCGCTTCATATATGCGGATATGCGGTTCAGTCCGCGGTCTTTTATTTAATAAGAACAAAACAATTTAAAATTTAATATAGTTAAATCTATAAGTAGTAAAATATACTTTTTCTAATTAGTTATTATTGTTATTACATTTAAAAGATTTTTTTAAGTTGATTATTAGGGTATACAACTTATACCCACAATTAAACAAGTTACTAGTCACAAGTGTCACTAATTGTAAATTACCACACTACGGACCCATTCAACATTTCATGACAAAGTAAAAATATCAAGCCTAATATAAAGTATATCACACAAATCATATTTCTACCAATATAGAGACTAACAAGCATAATAATAAAATAATAAGGATTTAGAAAAAATCTTTTGTATATCTTCTAAATCAAAGCCAAAAAATCTTTTAAAAGATCCTCTAATGTCTCAACAAAACACAAATAAACTTAGTAGAGACATGGAGTCATAGGTTTGTAGAACCGTCTTTAAAAAATCAAGTTAAATACTTAAATAGAAAATTAAGTTTCAATTAGTCCGCGGTTTAGCCCGCTGACCGCAATTAGCCCGCCAATGATTTTAGACCGCAGCGGACTCAGCCCGCTTGACCGCGAACACCAAAACTAAAATCCTAGACCGCTCAATTTTAGAGCGGATTGGACTCTAACCCGCGGTCTTTTGTCCTAATTGACAGTTCTAGGCTAAACCGAGTAATATGGTAAATGACGATAATACCCCTTGTGTTTTTAGTGCCGTACGCGTTTGTACATCGTAAGATTTTTTTTGCTGGCATGCACAACAAAACAAGTCTACGAGTGGAAAATATGTATTTTTGAAACTAGGTGTGGTATTATTATGAGTTATTATTTGAGTTTATAATAGTAGTCCAAATGTCAAATATTTATATATGTATATATATAGAAACTCGTCAAGCCTCCCAAACCGGAATGCGATGGCTCCTTTAGCACCGGCTCTAGTCTTTTTTCTAATTTTTTTTTTTCTGTTTAGTTTAAGGTTTGTCTTCGTGTGGTCTTTCAATGGGATATGGTCTTGTTTGTGCAGGGGTTCTGGAATTTTAACATGAACAGTCGAGTGGCCGGAGCTAGTTGTTTTGGTGGAGCCAACAAAGAGGTTGATTCCAGATCTGTTAGAGATGTGATGCAGTTTGAGGCTGGTGTTAATCGAGGGGTTAGACTTCTTTACTTGTCTTTACTTTAGAGATCTGTTGAGGTATGACTTCTAACTAGGTGGTAACTGGATGAAGTGACTTAGTCTAGTGGCAAGTTATAAGTTCACTGATGGACATGCACCATCACACCAGGGATCGAGTCGCGCTCCCTACATATTTGTAAGGATTAGGCTAATGGGTTGGCCAGTTGTGGCCCATTGTTGACCAAAAAAAAACTAGGTGGTAACTGGTGTTTATTGGCGTTGTAGACTTGTAATCGTCAACGTCGTATCTGGAAGCGAAATGTACGTATTTGTTCTCCATTTATCTGTCTTGCTTGGCGGATCACGAAGTCTTGATTCCTAGTTTCGAGATTTTGGCTCTCATTGTGATAAGAGGAGGTAGAAGTTATCATTTTTGGATTGGCCATATACATTCTTGGTAAATCTCATTCAATGGTTTTTTGCTAAGAAGAGGTCTTTTTGCTTTCTTAGATTCTATTAGCTTTTCAGTTTAAAGTCGTGTTGCTTTTGTGAGTGTTAGGTTTTGATCGCTAGCTTTTCTTGTTTTAATTATATGTGCTGTATTTCTATATTGTATTTCTCTTTTGTATGGTCTTAGCTTCTAGGGGGATATTGTCTTCCTCCGCCTTTGTCTCCTCTCTATTACCCAAAAAAAAAACTCCGAAGGGATTGAGGAGTTATTATACTGTAATAAAACAAAGATTAGAATTACGTTACAATAACTTTTATCGGATCTAACCCCATAGTGGTGGGCGAGTGGTTTTTATCCAGTAAAAGAGTTGTCATGTTAGTCTAGGTGAGAAATCAATTCTCTTCGTATGTTAATTACATCTCATTTATTATGTGGCAACAAGGATATGGACCCTTGTTTTCGGCCTATTTGAATATCTCGAGAGATGATTTAGTTGTGGGCCACACCTCTACAGAGATTAGTCTTGGACTATTTCATATGTCTAGGAATTTACTCTAAATTTAAAAAAAAAAACAAAACTTTGATTGGATCTTGGTTGCCACTGGAAGGAAACATCGATCAATAATTTTGAGGGATACAAGAGTGACTGTTTTGCAGCACGAATGAAGCCGCCGCGCTCATTGACAAGAGTATCTAGTTCCCTTTTTTGAGCCAGTTTCGAAGAACACCTAAGCCCACAACAAATTTTCTAGATAAATCTAGCGACGACAACTGATACTACTGCTGACTAAACTGAAATCAAACAACGTCAAATTGTAGATCTAACATGCGACCACTAACTCTCTTTCCTTCGTCATCTTAAACAAAGTTTTCTTCACTCTAATTCAGTTAATACAAATCGTTTTCTTCCCAAAACAGTTTTGTTCACTCCAAAATGTCAAATATTCAGAACGGACAGATCATTAAAATTATAAATTTATTTCTCCTTCTGAGTGGCCCGCTTTCTCTGTTTACTTTGACGATATTAGCATTGGTAGGGAAGAATTTTCAACCTTTTCTTTATCTCTAATACCACGACATCTAAATGTAAAAGCGGATTCTCTGACATGCAAAGTTTGTTCTGTTCTGCATCTTGTCAAGTATGTAAAAAATTGTCCTCTCAATTGGTTCTTTTGAGCTATTTATAGTTTGTTGTTGACAAAAAAAAAATTTGGATATATATTTTCTATATATAGTTACACATATAAACAAACATAGTTATATATCTATATATATAAAGTTAACTTTTTCTCTCTTCTCCTTAAGCCACATCATCATCCACCTCATTTTATTATTTAATTTTTAAAATTAATTATACCATTTTATCATTTAATTTTAATATTTAAATCTATGTAAATAAGTTTTTCAAAAATGAATATGAAAGGTCTTTTTTATATTATACATTATAAAACTAAAAAGGATAATTGATTAAAAGTTAAAAACTTACTAATTATCGATTATACTAACAAATATATAAATAATAGATTATAGTTTTTAGTGAATGTTTAAAATATATATATGATTATATTTACACAATGTAAACCTAAATATAATGGGATTTAACGGGAATAGAGCAAAAAGTAAGAAATTTTGAGAATATAAATCTATCTAATTTATGTCTCAAAATATTTTCTAACATAAATGAGATAAGTCGGACCGAAACATGAATTCTAATATTTATAAACATATAAAAAGGTAAAAATAAAAATAATATTTCTTTAGAAGTTTCAATATGAATTTAACTATTTTTTCCAATACACCACATATGTTAAACTAATAAACAAAATAAAAAATTAACTATATCTCATAAAATTGAAAATTAAAATAAAAACATTATTAAATGAAATAAACTAAATATAAAGTAAATTATACTAATATGTTAAATTTAAAAATTGTTCCATATGAAAAAACAAAAAATATATAAAACATAAAATCAGAAAAATATATAATAGTATATAAATGATCATTACGAGATATAAAGTACGACAAATCCAAAAAAGGAAAACGTAAAACAAAAAATAATAAATTATGACAATATATAAAGAGATAATGTAAACAACTAAAAAATATATCAATCCGCCCGAAACCCACAAATCATGTTCAAATTTCATGCCAATATATAAAAGGGTCCAAAATATTAACATTTAGATCTATATTTGGTAAAAACCCTAATAGCACACGTTTCTCAATGATTCTCAACCGCACTTCCATTTACGCCCACACTTCGACTTATACTATACAAACTTAATTTCTCAACAACTAATGAAGGTAAAACTCAATAGTTTTTCTATACAAACACAATTTAAGTTTTAAAAAAGTAAAGTATGGTATAGTGAAAAAAATAAGTAGATTATAAAATACGAATTAATTACTCATAAACAACATAATAAACTCCCGCGCGTAGTGCGGGCAACCGACTAGTATATATATAAGCAAATCTTATAAGTATCACTAAAATGAGTATTTTGATTCAAAAATACCAATATCAGTTTAATTTTTGTAAAAATACCATCATATTTATTCAAAAATATTACAAGACTAAAATTAATTTTTAACATTCAAAACTAATCTCCAAATCCTAACCACTAAACCTTACCCCTGAAAATTAAAAATGATACCCTAATATAAATAATTAATCCAAAATATAGATCCTTAAAAATCAATTTTGAAGTTTATGGTATTATTTGAAATAAATAAAACTTTTGTGGTATTAATTTGGAAAAAGACTTTATCGTGGTATTTCTGAAAAAAAAACCTTAGAATGTGGTATTTTGAGGAATATATCTAAATTAATATGTGAATTTTTTTTTTCAGATATTATCAAAAAAAAATTTCTTGATAAACATATTGTATTAAAGATTAATTTTATTTTATTTTAAGAAAGTACCTAATCCGGATCAAAGTAGTCATATCTAAAATCTATAAACTTTGCACCATTGATCTCTAGTTGAATTATTGAAAGTTTCATTTTTGTGGAAGCATTTTGTTTTCTTTTTCTTTTTGGTGTAAAGGTAGGAAAGAAAAGTGTTTTCATGATTTGAAACAGAGAAATGAAAAGCAAGAATATGAGTTCGTCTTGTAGCAAAAACTTGAAAAGCAAGAATATGAGATTGCTTACGAATTAGAGAATATATCTTTAATTATTGTTTTCTATAGAGTATTTTTCACGTTACATATTGAAAATAGTTGAGTAAGAACCAAAACTAAAAGCTATCAGATGTCACAACAAATGATGAGATATCATGATGAGATGTCGATAGCACATACCCATGAGTTTGTTCAAATGGCCTGATTTGATTATTATCTTTTCTTTTGTAAGAAAACATAGAAGATAATTGGCTCTAATTTATATAAAAAGTAAAGAAAGGGTTTGTCCTCGTTGGTGATAGATATTTTTATTTAAAAAACAAAATTTAGGAAAAAATAAACAAAATTTGTTTTCTCTTAAAGCCCAAGGCCATAAGGGCATGTTCATCTTTGAGACCGGTTTAGGTCTCAATTTTTTTTTTCTTTCTAAAAAATTTAAAAAAAAACAAAAAACAAAAAATAACTAATCGCGGGCCGCCACGTGTCAGTGGGGCCCGCAAATGGAGGAGGGACGGTCTCGTTTAAAGAAATGACCCACACAAATTTTTATTTATTTATTTATTTTTTTGCTAAAAACTGGGGGACTGCCATGGGACATGCAATGCCAATGGTCTAAGAATACTTCTAAAATTAGAGGAATGCCTATGTGATATGCTTTTAAAGGGGACAAGAGTGATTAAACGGATTAAGAAAATTTAGTTCCGCCAAAAAAAAAAAGATTAAGAAACATTCATTTAATTTAGTGAGATAGAATCGTGTCAGTATTGAGTAAGGAATTAAAGAAGATTTGGATCTAATTTAAGTTAAAATTGAATTAATTTTAGTTATGGTCGGTTCAATTTTAATTAAGGTTGGTTTAAGTCAAACCAATTAAGTAGTTATCAGTTTATTGATTGGTTCATTTAGAGACTTAGTAATTTAAATATAAAAAATAAGTTTTTTTTTTCATCATATAAAAAATAAGTTTGTGTAGTGTTTTTTTAAACAAAAATTTACGTAAGAAAGTTGAGAAAAATAATAAGTATAGAAGGGAAAAATACGGTAACTTAAAAAAAAATATATGGAAGGAAATGTAGTTGGGTCTGGGCGAATTTGGTTAACTTTGGTTCGGTTAATTTTTGTTATTTTTATAGATATTTAGTTATGGTTATTTATACAAATATTCTAATCAAACCGAACTGAAAGAAAATCGAACCAATCCAAATCGGAATTGCTAAAATAATCGAATGGTTATTACATTACCATATCTTAACTAACCAAAACCAAGCGTAACCAAACTGAAACCGAATACTTAGACCTAATTGTAACAATAACATGAATTCAACATAGTCCATTGTTCAAGTAAAAAAAAAAAAACAACTTGGAATAAAATCAAAAAGGTGAAATAAGAAACCATGATTTTGCAGTATAGAGTTCTATATTGTGTGTTTTCTTTATACTATTTATCACAATATTTTGTTGTATTGTTTGAAGCCTTGAAACAAAATTATTATTTTTTGAAAAAAAAACTATAACAATAAGAACCATGCACATTTTTAAAGTTAAACTCACCTTAAGCTTTTGTGAATCGATCACAATGAACTGATTCTTTATCATTCCTCTCTGTACGCCTTAAAATATTCCACTCAATTAAAAGGAGTTTTTTTTGAAAAAAAATCACATGCTAATTTTTCTATTTTTCAAAATATTTCATGAATTTCCAAATCTATTTTAGTAGTAGTACATATCACATGCTAATTTATGTATATTTACCCAAATACTTCATAAAATTCCAAAATTCATATCTACAGTACATTGACAAATGTGATAAGAAACGTATGAATTCCCTTTTTCTTACTTAAGGAAGTAAAATATACAAAACGAATATGCAAAAGATCCATTACACAAAACGTCTTTATCAAATATTTGATTCTAAATTTCTAATAATTAATACCAGGACACTAAAATTATGCAAAATCAATCTCAATGCTTTTAATAAGGGAACATATTTTTCTGCTGATTTTGCATAATTTCCATTAAATTACAAAAACCTAAACAAACCTCTTCTTGTATAAATAATAACTCTTCTTTGTAGTAATTAAGACGAAGAGAACCAAAAAAAAAAAAAAAACATGAATCGAACAATGAGTTTTGTTATAGTACTTGTGATTCTTGTCTCGGTTTCAAACCTTGTCGTGGCGGCTCATGTCGGTCTTACAACTACCGACCCTTCTTGGGACGACGCACACGCTACGTTCTATGGCGACATTAACGGTGGAGAAACCATGCGTTAGTGTTTTTGTTATTATAATGTCTTTTTGTGTGTTTTTGTTTTTTGCCTTCTACAAGATTTTTGATTATTAGTTTCTTACAAGTAATACTTTTTATATGCTTAAATTTCATAGTTTTAGTTAATTATGTGAAATTATAAAATATTTAACTTAAGGATGGATGGTACGGTTTTTTTGTTTGGTTTCGGTTTGATATTTTTGCCTTAAGATTATTAATGTCTTTCAAGTATGTAATACTTTTTGAAAGCTTAAATTTAGTATTTTTAGTTAAATATGTGGAATTATAAAATATTTAATTTAGGGATGGAGCGTACGGTTTTTTGGTTTGGTTTCGGTTCGATATTTTTGTCTTCTAAAGATTTTTGATTATTAGTGTTTTACAAATAATACTTTTTATAGGCTCAAATTTAGTATTTTTAGTTAAATATGTAGAATTAAAAAATTAATTTACGGGTGGTTGTACGGTTTTTTTGGTATTTTTTACGGTTTGGTTTTTTCGATTTACGGTTTTAGTTTTACGACAATTAAAACCATATAGAAATCACTTATATTTAGGTTTTGGTTCTACGCTTGAATAAATTATATTGTAACTAAATGATAAAAGTGTTTTATAGTTCTAAACCTCACATGAGTAATTAATTATTGTAAAATGGTTATAGATTTATTCATTCCATAAGGTTTATTATAAGTAACAAAATCATTCAGTCACAACTAATTAAATTACATGTTTATCATCTAGTTACAATATTATATATACAACAATTTTTTATATGCTCATGTATCTATTTTTTTTAATTGTATATTATTTTGGTGTGACAGAAGGAGCATGTGGTTACGGCGACTTATTCAAAGAAGGTTACGGCTTAGAGACCGCAGCACTAAGCACAGCACTATTCAACAACGGCAAGACTTGTGGTGCATGTTTCGAACTAATGTGTGTGAACTCACAATATTGCAAACCTAACGCTGGTACAATCAGAATCACAGCTACTAACTTCTGCCCACCAAACTACAACGAACCTGTTCAGTACCATTGGTGCAACCCTCCTAACAAACACTTCGACTTATCGATGAAAATGTTCCTTTCGTTCGCCGAGTATAGAGGAGGGATAGTTCCAGTGAAGTTCAGGAGAGTAATGTGTCATAAGAGAGGTGGTGTGAGGTTTGAGATTAAGGGTAATCCTTATTTTATCATGGTTTTGGTGTATAACGTTGGTGGTGCAGGAGATGTTACTAACGTTGAGATTAGAGGTGATAAGAGTAATTGGATTGGTATGAGTAGGAATTGGGGACAAATTTGGAATGCTGGTTCGGATTTGGTTGGACAAAAGCTCTCGTTTGTTGTTAGGACAAGTGATGGTAAGAGCTTGACGTTCTTTAATGTTGCACCAGAGAATTGGGGGTTTGGTCAAACTTATGAAGGAACACTCAATTTTTAGATGTTTTCTTTAGTTATTGTTTTAGTTTTCTAGAGTTTTGTCTTTTTTAGTTGGAAGCTATTATTTTAATTTGAAATTTGATAAAGATTAATAATAACAACTATTGATTTTTATCTATTTTTTTTGGAAATTTGAAGTTCAAAACAATTATGAGCATCGTACATGATTGTATCAACGTCCCATTTCATTGTAAGCAATCCAAAATTGGTAAAATGGAAAATGGTAGATAGGCCCATAAGCTTGACGAGTGTGTTAGGATTTTAAGACCAAACCTCAATGATCCAGAAGAATCGAAGCCACATAGTAGTAGACTTTAATTTTTGTCTTGACCATACATGCAATGTATTGGAGCGTCTTACATAAGCCATTGAAATGCCAACAAGGCCAATACTATGAGACAAACAAGCTCATGACTAGCCCATATGTAATTAGGGTTCTCTCTAACAGGATAGATTTCTATATAAAGTGTGTAATGATTAATAAACATCATTGTCTTTAACATAGAGAGTTGCCTTTTATTATTTCTCATTTTATGATTGAATCGAAGTATTACTAATCTTGGTGACAATCTAAAACTTTTTCCTTTCTTTACATTTATTTGCACACAATAAAGTTTAGTGAGCTATCAATCACATTACATTTTAGAAGGCTCTTTGAGGGAGAAAACCATCCCGTGGCTGATGCAATCCGACTGATAAGAGCAAAGTCAAAAACCACATTCTTATTAATCTCTGTCAAAGATACAGTTTAGAGGTTGATTAGAGATTGCCTCACATACTATTTAGCACTAGATACCAAATCAATAGCTAAATCTACTGCTACTAGCTACTACTTTTAATCCTTCATGTAATCCTTCATGTCTTCATCCAAAACTTTTAAAAATTTTAGTAAACCTATGTAAATCATTTTATAACATTTATAAACACTTGTAAATCCCTTTAAACCCCTTACAATCGTGGTAAATCCTTTAATAAAAACTTTTGTAAACTTCTAAAACCCTTTTAAAACCTTAAAAACAATTTTAACGTCCTTGTAATGCCTTTAAAAACCTTTGTAAACTTCTAAAACCCTTTAAACCCCCTTGTAAATCCTTTAAAACTATTTTTAAATCTTTGTAGATATCTATAAAATCCTTGTAAATCCTTTTAAAACAATTTTTTAAATCCTTGTAAATGCCTTTAAAACACTTGTAAATCCTTGTAAAAACCCATTAAAAATCCTTGTAAATTTTTAAAAACCATTTGAAAATCTTTTAAAATCATTGTAAATCCTTTAAAAACCGTTATAAAATGTTCTGAAAACGATTGTAAATCCTTCAAAAACCATTCAAAAACCTTTGTAAGCTTCTAAAACCCTTTAAAAACCCATTACAAATCTTTTAAAAACTAATTTAAAAACTCTTGTAAATCCCTTTAAAACCCCTTGTAAATCCTTTAAAATACCCTTTAAAAATCCTTGTAAACCTTTTAAAAAGAATTTGGGGGAAAAATTTAGTAAAAGTTTTTGCGGAAATTTTTTTGGAAATTTTTTTTGGCGGAAATTTTTTTGAAAGGAATATTCCATCCTAAGGAAGGAATGTTCTTTCAACTATGGATAAAATGGTCATTAAAATTTAAGAGAGGACAAAAATGAAAATGGCAAAAAAAAATGGTAGTTTTGCAAAAGGGTATCATTAAAAAATTATCATAAAGGTATTATAATGTTAGTTTGTTATGCCACTTTCATAACTCAAAATTATGTTCTTGTCACTTTGACCAAAACCTTCTCAAAAATGCCAGTTTGTCTATTTGTGGCAGTGTTACAAATGAAAAAACTGCCCTCGCAGGAAAAAAAAAATAAAAATGATGGACCAGATCTGTTCCACCAGAACTAGTTCGAATCTAGTCTACTAAAATTAGTTGGCCGAATCTTGTCCATCTACAAACAAAATGTATGATCTATTGTGTAAATCTAGCTAAATCATGGATAAAATCTTATATAGACACATCACTTATTTCATCGTATGGTGAACCACTTGTGGTTTCAAAAGATTTGCATGATAGACAAGATTAATTAATCAAAATGAAAATGTTTGGTCCATCGAAACTGGTCCGCCAGATTTTGTCCACCGAATCTGGTCCATCGGATTTTGTCCATCGAGATGCAACACATAATTCCGCCGACTGGAACCGATCGGGTTTTTTACCAGAATAGGCACGGGTGAAAAAAAATCTGATTCAAATATTTTTTAAAATTGTGAAAAGTTTTATTTGTTGTTAGATAAATAAAGAGAAAATGAAAGAATAAGAGAGAAAGAAAGATGAGAAAAGGAGGTGCCCAAAAAAAAAAAAAAAAGTGGCTGGAGAGAAGGCTGGAGAAAAAGTGGCATTCCTTACAATATTTGTTACTGTTCATGACATAGAATATAATTTTCTCTATCATAAAAAGGTCATTAATAAGAATTTCTCCAATTCTTTTGGTGATCGATAATTAAATGTTACTAGATTTTTATTATGAATGGTTAATAACGATTTTTAAATATGTATGATACAGAAATAACTTTCTTCAAAAAAAAAAAATTTACTAACTTAAAATATTATCTAATTTTTTTAATACTTTGGATATAAAATTAAATTTTGGAATTAAATTTTCATAATGGTATTCAATTCATATTGATTAATTTTTTTTGTTAATGTTATGATTTTCTAAATTTTAACACATGCAATATTTTTAGTTCAAACGTGAAAACATAAATTTTAACCCGTGTATTATCTAGTATATATATATATATATATATGAAGGTTTTGTGTATTGGTATATCACCAGGTTTGTAGCCATGGTTACTCGAGAAGTTGAAGAACCTTCATTGTTATTATTCATGTGGAGGCATGCACTACCTACGGGGATGAAACGGTGTGTTGCGGAGGCAATAGATAGGGAAGATAGAGAGGGCGATTGTTGATGACTTTTAAGGCTTTAAAATGGTTTTAAAGCCTTAACAGTAATTAATTTGCCAATCAACATTTTTTGCTTTTATTTATTTTTAAAGCATTAAAAGTCACCTTTTTTTTTCCTTCTTTGTTTTCTCATTTTTCTCAAAGCGTAAAAAACCTGGCTTTAAATTTGATCAATTAAAATCAACTAAAAATATTTATTTTTCATATCCCATTACATTTAAAATCTTTTCACAAGTTTATAAAGAGTATAGTATTCTTGACGTCTCTTATCCTTCATCGTCTAATGCGATAGAGAGTTTTGCCACCGAAAAAGAAGAACCTCCTAAAGCGTATAGTACTCTTGACGTCTCAAATATATATTTAGAGTCACATTATATCTTACCATTATAAACGTAATAACATATGACATTACGAATCTAAATATGCTTTTCCTTCCAAACTTAGAAAATGTCATAACAAACCAAATGTAAAATAAAATAAATCAAATGACACAATTAATTATATTATAAAAATGATGCCATAGAATTTACAAAATACTCTTAGAACCGCTTCTATATTTTATTTAATCCATTCTAAAATCATATAACTTGGTCCATTAATTAATCATATATACTAATTTCATTTACAATATGCAAGTCTTTACATATGATTGGTTATGTAATAACCAATTTGCAAAATAAATCTCTATTTATCAACAATAGCAAAATTTGATTAAATTGTATCCTTGAATACTTTTTCTTACTTGTATATATATACACATGCGTCAAAGCTAAAATTGTCAAAATTAGTGTAATAACTTTTGTCTTAGATCTTAGTAAATTGAAACCATCTTAGAGCTAGCTAGTTATACGTATGATTTGATGGCAAAAAATATTTAAAACATGAAAGCATAAGACGGTAAATAAAATAAAAGTATTGGTCCATCTACTCAACCGAGCCAAATAAGCTCTGGGAACGAGGTGAAGCGATGGCGTTTATGTTATGTATCCTTTATAGATTCAAGAACAAGAACACAAAAGTATATGAAGAAAAACTCTCTTTATTTGCTCAAGGAAAAATAACTCAAAAACCCTAAGCTTCTCAATCTTTTAAACTCTCTCAAGTTATGCCACACATTAGCATCTCCTTATATAGAGCTTTAACAAAAAACCCTAATACAAATAACCTAAACCATAACTCGGTTTATACCCTAAACCATAACTCGGTTTAAACGGGCTTTACTTGGGCCTCAAGCCTTCTTCTTCAAGCTTACTCCAACATTCTCCCCCTTAAGCTTGAACTTGTCTTCTCTCACATCTTGAACTCCAATAAATCTTCTCATTTCAATAAACTTGATTCTTCCGAGTGCCTTTGTAAGTATGTCAGCCTTTTGCTCAGTTCCGGGAACATGCTCCACTTCTATTTGTCCATTCTCGATGCATTCTCTAATGAAGTGGTACCTTCGATGTATATGCTTACTCCTCCCATGAAACACCGGGTTCTTTGTGAGAGCTATCGCCGATTTGTTATCCATGAGAATAGTGATTTTCTCACTAGGAGATACGGTAACTTCACAAAGTAGATCTTGTAGCCAAATAGCTTGTTTAGCTGCTTCAGTGGCTGCCATGAACTCGGCTTCACACGACGACATCGCTACTGTCCTTTGTTTTTGAGTACACCAAGTAATAGGGCTGTTGCCGAGATAGAGAATGTGACCCGTAGTACTTCTTCCATCTTCTTTATCGACGTTGTAGCTGCTGTCACTGTAGCCAAGCATACTCGGTTTTTGGTCACGAGCAAACTTGAGTCCGAGAGAAGCAGTGCCTCGCAAGTACCGGATCACCTGTTTTAAAGCCACTCCATGCGATTCCTTTGGTTCACTTACAAACCTACTTAGCAGCCACACGGAATAAGAAAGATCCGGACGAGTATGAAGCAAATAACGAAGGCATCCAATGCTTCTTCTATAACCCTTCTCCTTCTCCGACTTTGATAACTTCAAGTTGATCTCCATTGGTGCATGAGTAGAGTTGCAAGCTTCCATTCCAGCCTCTTCTAGATTCTTTGAGCATATCTTTCTTGTTTTAGATTGACCCCTTCATTGTGCTGGTGAACTTCGATACCAAGATAATATGTCAA